TGCTGAGACTTCCACTGTACATGTAATTTTGTCTGGTGCCTGTGCAGATTTCTCTGTACAAAGTACTGTAACCTCTGGTAATTCAACTTTACGTACCTCTCGAGAACCTGTTGGTGCAGCACGACACATTTTAGCAAAATGCCCTGTTTTTCACATTGTCTGCAAGTCACTTTTGCAGCAGGACAGTTCACGGCATTGGCCAAATGTCCTTCAGATCCACAACGAAAACATGCTTTCCTCTTTCGTAAGGCAGAAGAGAAACTGGCAGTATTAGCTTGCTTCCGCCTCGGTTTACGTCTGTTCTGTAACTGCACACTTTGCACAGGTGTAACGTGCTCATCAGAAGAAATGGTTTTAGCCTGGCTTATAGCTGCTTCGATCTGAGTAGCAATGGTCACTGCTTTATCCAGTGTAAGATCAGGTTCTAGTAACAGTCTCTCACATATCCGAGGGTTATATGCATGCTCCAGCAGCTGATCACGAATCATTTCCTCTGTACGATCACCAAAGTCACAGGTCACCACAAGCTCACGCAGGGTAGCCACATACTGTAACACTGTTTCTTGTGCTCCCTGAGCCCTTTTACGAAAGGCATGGCGTTCTACTACAACATTAACTTTGGGTGTGAAGTAGGTTTTTAAAGCAGCCACAGCCATATCATATGTAGTACCTGAGTTAGGCAAGGCATAGAAAATCCTCTGGCCCTCTGTCCCCAGACAGCGAAGCAGAACCGCTCTCTTCCTTGAGTCAGGCCAGGCATCTCCCGTTGTATTAATGACCAACAAGTAGTTGTCAAACATCTGCAGCCACATTGGAAAAGGCACCGCAGGCTCACCAGGACATGGGAGGAAAAAAACTTGGAAAAGGCACACTGGCAACTGCCATCATCAAAAAATAAGTCACCAATCAAGAAATATATACAAACATCCTAACTAAAATCTCCTAACTAAACATCCTAACTAAAATCTCCTAACTAAACATCCTAACTAAAATCTGTATGATCTTTTTTCTAATAGCGTTTTAAAAGCCACAGACACTGCAGACACAATCTCCACCCTCTTATTAGGCTCGTGTGTTAATGATGATGAAAACTACTCTTATTGACCAGGGTGTATTTTGGTTTGGCAAATTATTCAGTAACTGCATGAAATAAATGTAAATTTTTATTTTATTTATTTATTTTAATAATTTTTACAAAGCAGATCACTGAAGAGACGCCATCTGTTTATAGTTTATAGCCCAGATTTATGGAAAAATGGGTCGACTTTCAGTAGACAAAAAAATTGTTGAGTTCAGCTTTTTCTATTATAAGGGTTTAAAATTACATTGCCCATCTATTTGACTGGAAAGAAGACAGTTACAGCTACTATAGTTACACCCACTTTTTGAATGTAGCTTATGAAATATGAAAGAATTATGAAGAATATGACGAAGTGCGTTCTGGAACCACCGGTGGTCTCAAGGAGTTGAAGAGGTTAAATATTACGGTGATGGTGGTGAATAATGAGGAGACAGAGCCTTTGGGAAATGAAACTGAAACTGGAGAGCAGAGATGCTCTGATAAACAGCGCGATATTCTTCACTGTATTCTTAACTTGACGTTTATAGCGCTGCTGTTTTGTTTGACCTTCCTTTTACATCAGTAACGGTAGGTAACGTTAGCTGTCTGGCTAACTAACTTATTATTTTGATTATGTGTTCCCCTTTCAGCTGTGCGCGAATGGCCGGTTGCTAGGTAACAGACATGACAGTTGATCGTCACTTCCATCAGGTAAGTTAAGATTTCCTAACGCTGTAAGAAACGATTCCTAAATTAAGATAAGTCTTATCTTGAACTGACAAAAAGGTTGGACGTTTCTGTAGTACGGCCCCTGGCCTCAGAAACATGATTGCAAAACGCCAGAGGGCGCCCGTGAGCAAGTCCTCCACGAATGTGTGTGAATGGAGCTAAACGGCTAAAAGCGAATTAAAATAGTTTCTAATCAATTGTCCAGAACTTTCCTTTAATTTTAGAAAGTAGGATGTATTTCACTAAAAAAGCAAGGAAAACTTACCTATATAGTTCCTTTTTTCTACAGCAAACGGGTTTTGGGCAGCAGGAGGCTAACATTACTGCTACTGAGTGCTGACTGATTGGCGAGTGGAGCAGCTCATTGGCTGTTCCTGCTCACTGACATCATGAACGTGAGGCGCCGTTTTAAACCCCTATAATTCGAGTTGAAAAGCACTCAAAAATATAACAGCAGTGTTAAAATGTTTCACGTTGTTCTTTGTTCAGAAAATAAATATATTCTTTTTTACATTTAAAGTCATTTTAAAACTATGATTTTGCACAAATGCTCCATATTAACCCATTCATTTTGGACTCGCTCGGGAGCGCCCTCTGGCGTCTGAAAAACACGCAAGACATAATAGAGTGGTGATTCTCTTCTCTACAGCTGTGTCCCAATTCAGGTGCTGCGTCCTTTGTTGCATGACGAAACGCCGCTCGTCCAGTTATTTTAAAGTTCTTTGAAGATGGAGCCAGAAACTTTGACTGTAGTTTTTTAAAAAAATTTAATTTATTAGAGCTGGATATGATTTTCTGCTCCTTGCTCCCTAAAACAAAATGAAACGTTTTAAACCACATTGGCTTCTTTAACATTTCGGCCTTCAATCGCAGCCACCGAAGGATGCAGCCCCTGGATTGGAACGCGGGGTACTCTTGCGATATTCATAGTATTTTAAATGCATAATTAAGAAGATCATGTTGCCATGTTGGTGGCCAAGCTGTAACTCTGTGCCGCAACTAGGTAAAGTCCCCCCACTCCTCATTGTGGGGATCAGCACAAGCGCAGTTGCCCAAACCACATGAAAAATCACATTTTTTGTACCTTACTGAGCCACAATCTACAAACTTTCTATGAGCTTTTGTCATGTTTTACCTCTGAGTTAAAATATGTTTTTGAAACAGTAATTTGGCCTTCAGTTTCAAATATTTCGGTCTCTCCCCAAAGAGACAGGAGTCTGGTGTTGTATGGCTTGTCGACATTGCAAAGATGGCCGCTGAGTGAACAGACTTTCCTCTAGGGACTTTGACTGTATTCAGGTGCCTAAGCTTCTTGTTTGAATTTTCCCCTTCCATCCTCACCTCAGACACTAAAGCAGAACTGCGGCACGATTTAAGGTGGAATGGGAAAATGTGAATAGAAAGCCAGCTTCAGCCTCGTCAACTCCCAGAGGTCTCGCCACCGTTCTAACGCCCTTGCCTGATCGCAATCTTTGTTCTTCAGATCTTCTCCTCTTTGGCTGTTTCTTGGCTTTTTCTCCCTCTTGACAATTCAGAATAGCCCTTCCCCTTCCCCTGACTGGAGTAGTGTGGTGAGGTTCGGTCCGAAGCAATTTGTTCATTTCCCATTTACAAAGCCAGGGCTGTGTACAAACACCGGATTTGATAAAAAAGAATATATTGTGCCTTTAAAGCATTTTTCTAGATAATGTCATGCAGTATCAGAAACCACTTAAGTAAGACTTTGAGACATTATAGAACAACTTGACATCATGATGATTTAGGCATACGTTGTACAATGCAAATTGGTTGTTCCATTACTTGTAAGCCACATTAGCATAACAGCTTCAATGGAAAACTAAAGCAGTAGACACTAAGCATGTCGTGACATATCAGCTCCACTTAGGGTAAGGGGGAAAATTGTACATTTGATTTTCCTTTAAAACACAATCCAGTGACATTATTGAATCAATATATGACACTGTACTCTGTAAATCAAGAGTCTTACAGCAACGATACACATCTAACTGTGTAGAACTAAGCTCATTTCAAGTTTTAGCAGACATAAAATAAGGCAAAAAAACCAAGAAGCAACAGAAAGGCCCAGGCAAGGAAAGTATACTGAAATCCACTTTATTTCACTCATACAAAATAATAAGAATGTTAAAAGTTTTACATACAGCCTCTGAGCAGCCAAACTTTACACACCTGGAGGAGAGAGACAGCCACAGAAAGAAAAGGGGCGGTGGGGATAAGGGGTCTGGCTCCTCTCAGCCCAAAGAACATTAAAACCATTTAAAAGATACAAGACCAAGAATATAGTTGATATAAATGTGCATTTACGTCCACAGTTGGTTGATAAGAGGGCCGTAGGGCGAAATGAATCTGAGTGTTTGTGCATCATGACTGTGTGCAAAAGAATGCACGCATGTTCAGTTCCTAAAAATTCCCCATTCAAGGAAAAAAAAAAGCAAACTAGTTCAATCTTGGCCTGGTTTTAGCTTATAAATATAGAGAGATTTATTCAACATATGTCCAATGTTAACTGAAATGACAATGAAAACCAATGGGGGGGAAAGTGAACTAAAAATCCACATATTTTACCTCATGTCTTGTGTAGTTTATGTTTAAATCATAAAATGTGAATTTAAAAATGACAAATGTGTAGAAAGACGTCTGCAAGTTGTAGGTATTTGCCCCATACAAATTACACATCAACTACACATTACTCACTCATTAATGCACAGATTTGGGCGGCACTCAACACGCAAGCCCTGACCTATTTAGCTTCAGCCAATTGTGCAACATTTTAGGTGGTCAAGAAAATACATCTGCTCAGGTCCGACTGATAGCTTCAGAGATGACAATTCAACACCTGTGGGTAAAGCGCTTTGGGGCTAGTGTTCCTTGTCTTGCTTATTTTCTCTTTCTTTTAAAGTAGACGAACTTGAGTATGAAAGTTTATAACACCCTGAGCTAAGACGAATCAAAGCACACTGAAAAATGAGTGATATGTCCTGGAAGTCACAGAACGGCAGCGTAGAACAGCAAATAGGAACGGCAACCTAAGAGAATAAAGTGGTGCAAAAAAAAGGAAGAACAAGAGGATCTCTATGCCAAAAATCACAAAAAGATGATGTCCTTGCTTGGGGGCCTTTTTCCAAAAAAAGAAAAAAGAAAAAGAAAAAAAAACAGGTGAGCCAAAAATTCAACAATTATCTCGTTTAACCAGCCTGGATAAATGCTCCTGTTGTAATCTTTCCTCAACAATAAAATAAGAAATTTTTAAAACAAAATTAAAACAGACAGCTAATATACAACCTATACCTCTTGCACTGTGGCTGCAGTCTTGCCAACGCCCTTTTCTCTCACTAGTAAGTGGACGTTTACTCTGTTTTGTCTCTGTCTTCAGTTTCCATCCGTTTTGCGTTTTGCAGCCAAATAAGAACAACTTAAGAAAATTAATGTAAAATAGTGGGCGAGGGTAGGAGGAAGGAGCTAAGAGTCGTAGTCTTCATCGTCGTCGTTTTCATCCTTGTGCGGCACCGGGGCTGGAGGGGGTGGTACAACCCCCATGACTGAAGGGTGGGGGACAAAGGAGCTGATGGGCATAGAAATAGTAGCCTGAGGGGTGCCCATGGGCATGGGCACGTACTGACGGGGCATGTCTTGGCTGGTAAGAGAGGACAAACAATGGAGAAAAGAAGGGAGAGAAAAATAAAGCTGTCAGAAGAGTGGCTTTAGGTGAAAGCTGGTGGTCACCAACTTTTCTTCTGGACATTTAACTTTTTGCAAGCAACTCCAGCACCATTCTGAAACAAACCCATCAGATTCAGTTCAACCACTTTTATGGGCCTCAACTTTGTCCACATTTGATGTGCAAAGGGTTTTTCATCCTTAATTAACGTTGCTTTTAAAAGGTGCAGTGTGTATAATTAAGGAGGACTAATTAGCAGAAATGGAATATAGTATACAAAACCATGTGAATAATCACATGACAACAAACTGTTGTGTTTTTCTTGGCTTAGAATGCACCTTTCATATTCATATCCATATCTGGAGTGGGTCTGCCACGTTGTGCAACCATGTTTCCAGAGTAGCCCAGAATGGACAATCCAAACACTGGCTCTAGAGAGTGCCTGTCATGTTTTTATTCTGAAGTGGCAGCTTGAGTTTGGTGGCGCTACAGCACCGGTTGGAAGACATAAAGGAGAGAGGAATCAGTGGTTACCGCCAGTGCTGGCAAACCATTTTGTATTGTGAAAAATTTGAGAACCCAAATTTTGACAAAGGGAGGATCATACTTATTATTTAGCACAAGAAAAAGCAAGGAATATCCATCATCAAACAAGTGAAAACATTAAAGAAGCAAGACAAAATCAGGACAGGTGACTGCAAGCAGAAAACCTGACGGCCACTAGAGGTTCTACTACATGCTTGAAAAGGGAGGGGTGAGGGAGGGGCATTCAGTGGGTTACAATCTGCAACCTTACTGCTAGATGACACTAAATTTTACACACTGCACCTTTAAAAGCCTGTAATCTATTAGTTTTATCTAACATTGCATTGTTAATGTTTGTAGCCCTTGGAGTGGTATCAGTCAAGAGTATGAGCTTGCATTGCTAATGTTAGCACCTAACACTAGAGAAGCCACTATAACTAAGCAAACTTTGTGACTTTTCCAGCTAATGCTAAAGCATCAGTCTCAAGAACACCACATATTAAGGGGTGCATGATTTATTCATGTTTTATATTAACTCAGCATTTGCTAATTTCATGCAATTTAATAATCTAGATTAAAAATGCAATTCAATAAAAATAAATGCATTTACATATTTGATTCTGCAGACATGACAAACATTTGTTGTAAGAAAAATGCCTGACTGCTCATATTTGTGGACTACTTGAACAGATGGATCTGGTGAGTAATTTGAATGGTAACTGATGTTAAAAGTTTCTTTTAAAATAAAGCAGCACTGAGCACTTATTTTATTCTTGCTGCTATACATGACAATATACGTATGTACCTGCTCAAAAGCAGGTGTGCATTTACGTGTGTGTACCTGGGGAAGTGAGATGGTGCCTGGAGATTTGTGTTGGGTTGAGAAATTTCCTCCTCCTCTCCATCTGTCTCACTGTCTTCAGAGTCATCCTGACAAACCAAGCCAAAAACAAAAAAACCTTAGACCAATGCAACAATGTTAGACCAAGGTTCCGATCACTGTGACACAGTTAGACCAATGTTAGTCACTGTAAAACAGATCAACACAGACAGACCAAAGTTACAATCACTGCAACACAGGTAGACCAAAGTTACAATCACTGCAACACAGGTAGACCAAAGTTACAATCACTGCAACACAGGTAGACCAAAGTTACAATCACTGCAACACAGGTAGACCAAAGTTACAATCACTGTAACAAAGCTAAACCAATGTGAAGACCTGTGTAACAAAGTTAGATAAATGTGAAGACCCCTGTAACAATGTTAGATCAATGTGAGGACCAGTGCAACAATGTTAGACCAATGTGAAGACCATTGTAAGAATGCTAGACCAAAGTAAACATCACTGTAAAAGTTAGACCAATGCGAAAACCCCTGTAACAACCCCTGTAATACTGTTAGACCTATGTGAAGACACCTGTAGCAACGTCAGACCTATGTTAACATCCTTGTAGTAACATTAGACCAAATGTGAAGACCCCTGTAACAATGTTGGACCAGTATGAAGACCACTGCAACAACGTTAGACCAACATGAAGACCATTGTAACAATGCTAGAACAATGTAAAAATTACTTTAACAATGTTAGACCAATGTAAAAATGTTAGGCAAAAACTAGACCACTAGAACACCTTACAAGCTCTCTCCTTCACATTCAGGGGTGGGGTGGAAATTTTTAGGCATACCACAATAAAAATAAAATACTGTATAAAAAAATATTTATTACTGTATATTTATTAACTTGGCAATACAAAAGTTTTATCCTAATAGTTTCCCAAGAGACTAAAAGCATTATTCTACAGAAACTTGTTGAGAAATATCAAGTGCCCACAGTGATGCAAATGCATTTACAAACATCACAGCCAAACAGTAATGGCCTCAAGTCTGGTGAAACATTAACAAACCTCAAGAGTCAAAAAGTGAACAGGCTCTCTTCCGGCTCAGGGCTACATTTAGAACAGACAAATATTTTCTGTGCAATAACCATTTATAACAATGAATACACCACTAGTATTAGTCCTTGGGCTGAATCTGGACCTTAAGCTAACAACCATGAGGCTGAAACGAACCAAACAAAAACATTTACAGACAGAAAACAAAGACTGCATCTAAAGTTAAGTAAGTATGATAACTTCTCTGTAAAATAGCACCACAGCAACAAAAATTGTTTCAGGCTCTCTTGGTACACTAAACGTCAAGACTGTCCAACAAGATGTGTTATCACTCCTGACTGACCATCTCAGATTTTCTTCAATGTGCTCCATAATTAAATGGTTCTGATGTATACAAAGTAATTCAGAGTGGTTTGATATGAAATGCTTAGTTCTAGAAAAACACACCAAATCAAGAGGTGGTGATAGGAACCAGACATCTGAATGCCTCTAAAAGCTCCCTCACAAAAAGTTCTGCCATAAAATGGTTATGAATACAGTGCCTGATACCTGATTTTTTATAACAACGGTTGTGACCTAAAACATATTTTTTTAAATCCATTGATGGTGGACAGGTTCATGGTGGGTGTTGTAAGGCAAAAGAGGCCCCAAAGAAAACTTTATTTATGACTCAGTTTTCATTACTATTTACCATTAAAAACATTACATATAAAACCTCAGAAATACATAGGTTCACTGGTGGTTTTGGACAGTAAAAATAACAACTATATTTGGTTCATATACATGACCCCTGGTTTCTGTCACTGTGAAGAAAGTTTTTCTATAATTCAGTTTTTCACATCAAACCACTCTAAATGACTTTGTATAAACCTGAATAAATGCATTATACAGAAACGGTGGACAAGTCTGTAAAATTCACAGAAAGCGTGTAGCATTTTGTCAATAAAAAGAAGCTTTATGAAGCGGCTCAAGATGCCAATTTCATGTTTGGAACATTTGTTGATTAAAACATCCTCTTTCCAATACGTGTAAACTATTTTGGGCACACGATCAGCCATGGGCAATATGCATTAGAATTATGAATTAGAAACATTACACTAGAACCTTATTGGCAAAAGAATACTGTAACAAATACCAACATTTGAAAGATTGCAGTGTGGAGATTTAGAGGGTAATGAACAGAAATGTCCGCAGACAGCATATAATTATGAAACCCATGCACCTCTTGTTCAGACTCCGTGCCTGATAGTTTCTTGTCTTTGCCTTTGGCACCTGCTCCTCCGTTCTTGCGTCCTGAGCCAGGCTTACGACCTCTGCAGGAACATACACTGCATTTCAGTACAACAGCATCAAACTCACAGCATCTAGCTTCCAGAACTGCACTGCTTTATATCAACATAGGCAACAGTACTGTCTTCTGCTACAGGGCCAGTGGCTAGCAATGTTGCATCCTGCCGTTCTGTGCCAGCGCAAACTCATGTTTGTGGCATCTTTTTCATTTGGTGCGCTGCTAAACCATGAAAAGGTAAAAATTATGAAAATTACAGTAGGTCAGCAACAGCATCTTAAATAATAAAGTTAATGTAATGAAGCTGTTCAAAGTTTAATTTATAAAGTAAGTTTATTTTAAGGTCTTACAGGGTCCCACTGTAAGCAAGGTCTTGGACCCCTCAATACAAATCTATAGAAATAAATAACAACTGTACAGCTGCAAAAATAAGATTGTTACTTAATGTTGACAATAAACAATATGTATAATGTTAAACATTTAATGTTAAATATTGTCACACTAATGACTGCACTTTCCCACCAATTAATCAAAATCATAATGGACTGATTAATCAAATCCTGATTCTACTAGCTGACGATATGGAGGATTTGGCATTATATACATTTTGGCCTGTTTTTGGTTTTGAAATGATGACAAATAAAGCATCAAAAAAAAAAAAGCCATAACCTGAAGCCAATCAGTGAACTCCTATATTATTATTATCTACTATTATTATTATCTTTATGGGTTTAGTTTTAATGTGTTTTGTAATTAAGCACTTTTTAATGCTGCCTGATTTTTATTTTTGCCTTTGCTAGAAGCAACTGTGGATGAAAATGAGCCATCTGCCCAAATGTGGCACATTTACATGACAAAACATTGATGCTGATACATGTGTGTCTCTGTTAAATAAACTATATATATATATATATATATATATATATATATATATATATATATATATATATACACACACACACATATATATGTGACAAGACTGCAACAAGACTGCGAGGGTTAACCTGCGTGGGATCTTCTCTGCTCCCTCAGCATGATTCTCATCCCCCTCTCCCTGCATGTCCGGCACTGCGGCCACCAGGTCCTTCAGGAAATCAAACTGCTGCTCCAATTCGATGCACTGTTTCCTGCGGGCGAAAACAAATACAAACTTCAAGCCAATCAGTGATTCAGTAACACTATTTCTTCTTTGATGAGTAAGTTCAAGTCACTTACAGATGTGAGGTGGTCATAGTTTTGGCGTTCCGTGACTGAGTAACATGACAGGCTTTTGTCAGGAGCGACTCCAGAAAGAGCTCAAGTGCCCGTGCTCAGGTGGGTGTCAAGGAACCAACCCAGCCAGTAACATCAACTACAAAGTATTCATCCAATAGACCGCCAGGAGTCAGTCAACTGCTCAGACATCACATTCTTGGTCGACTGGAATTCTGCCAGTCAACTAATTACATTTATTTATTCATTCATCTTTAGCTTATTTGGTTATATTTACAAGTTAATTATAGTTAGAACTGGGGCTGGCAATATGGCAAAAATATAATAACTTTTTACTTGACTAGTCATTCTGAAGTTTAGTTATTTTTAATAGAGAAAGAATAATATGTCATATACTGCACTGCATTAAATCGAATCAAACTCGAATATAACTGCATGTTTCATTACGCAGTGTTTTTTAACTGCTGTCAACAAACTCAGCAAAGCATACTGTCATTTAATGTGTCACTTTATCATGATAACAATAAATATCTTCACATTACCCACATCTAATTTGGACTGTAGATATTTCTGCATGGTTTAGGGCACTAGGGTGTAGCCCATGAGTCACCAGATTATTTTAAGCACTGGTCTGTTTAACAGTCAAAAAAAGTTTATTATCGTGATCGTTCGACTTTTAGTAAACTAAGAAAATCATTGGACGTTAGTAAGAAAGCCTATTTGATCACAATCAGAGACAAGCACGTCAACGCGTGTTGAAAAACACCCACACAGTTTTGTCTGTCCACTACAGCTGTAAAATCTAACAGATGTAAACTGCTGTATAAAATGAGAGATTCACTGAAAGAACACTGAGAGGCTATAAAACCGAAAACTTGTCCAATATAAACGTTTAAAGGATACAGATTATTACAGGAACTGCAGCAGCTACTTTGCCTATTTCTTCATCTGTCTGCATGATCTTCTTAATCCTTGCCTGAAAAAGAAAAAAAACAAAAACACACACACAAAGATTATAAAAGAAAAATGTATGTAAGTAATGCCTGTTTATTCATTTTAGGCAGCAAAGAAAAGCTGAAATATTAATTGTTTTAAAGTTTTAGGTGGGAAAATTTAACATAAAACACAGAGCCTGTGAACTGCCTGTACTGCACTGAACCGCCATCAGAAGGAACCGAACACCTGTGTGCTGTGACATCACACCCACAACTCACTGCCAGTCTGGCGCAGCACATTCAAACATTAAGCTAGAAAAAGTGGATATTCTTATCTTTAAGGCCAAAGTAATTGGCCTGGGCCTCGATTTAGAGGCCCAATTGTTCAGCCTGAGCCTGTACAGGAAAAATGTAGTTACTGAAATGTGAACGTTCACGCCTGTGCAAAGAAAAACGCCAAGCCCAAAACATGTTTTTGGCTGGTCAGAGTCCAGATTTAAAGCCTACAGAGAATATCTGGTCTCACATTAAACACAAACTAGCTTGGCAATGTAACTGTTTAAAGCCACCAATGCTGGGTGGAGCAATCTTGACTTTTCTTTCTGTGAAAGGTTGTCTGCAGGTTTTCCCCCAAGACTTCAACGCTTAAAGAAATCAAAGAGAAAAATGATTTCATGCTAAGTTACTTTATCGATTTGTTTAATGACTTGTTGTCACAATACACAATATACACTATTTAATTTCGCTGACGTTTGATAAGTTTGAACAGAAAAAAAGAACCAGTAGTGCCACATTTAAAAATACTCTGAAAAACTACGTCTACAGTGATTCTGTTTCACATACTCCAAGGCACTACAAGCAATTAAACATTTTATGCTCTCCTTGTAATGAAACACCAAGTCCGTCAGTGTTCTTTAACTACTGATGACATCCATGACATACTTAGACAAGCATAATGTAGCATGATAACAATGAACTACTATCACATTGCCCACTCCTAGTTGAGACTATTAAAAGCTTATTGTTTTGCCATTTGCACTTTTTTGCACAAGAGTGTACATTCAGATACAGTGTAACTTGGTTCAGTGTATGCACCATAAACAAGACATGGACTGATATAAATTCTAGGGATCTTGACCAAGACAGCTAAGCCTGATTTATCAATAAATAGTAGCCTAATAGATGAAACGCGCTACACAATAACACCTATCATACCTTCTTTGACCCGAGAGGTGGATGATATGGAAAAACGTCATATTACGATACTTCAAGAAGATTATGAGACACAACGTCACAATGTCTTTTTTTTTAGACACCTCATAAGTTAGAACAGGCAAGTACACATTTTAAAAATACTACCAAAAACTATGAATTTAATCATTTGTATTCAGCATATTGCACACTGCGCTGCACTAAATCCAATTAAACTGGACTAATTATGCTCCCTTTGTAATCAAACATGCAGTTGGTAAGTGGTTTTTAAGTACTGATATGCTCAGAAAATCATACTGTGTTTAATATGGTATACTGTGGTTTAATTTATCATGCAAACAATAAATACTGTCATACTGCCCAGCACTATGTAACAGGCTAGAGATCATTCCCATCAGTCGGATGATGAGTCTGGCTCAGACTAAGAGGGATTTCTAAGAGAGACTCTAGTTGTGTCCAAGCAAAAGAGTTTTGCTTTTAAACTAGATATAAAATCACTGGACAAAGACAGCAGCATCAGGACGTAAAGTCACAACAACAATAACATTTGCTAATAACCATAACAGTAGTGATAATAACAACATCAACAATGACGATAAAACGGAAATGTTATAACTCTTCCAATGTTTCATACGAAGCCCTGCCGGTGACATCCTGTATAAATAAAAATAATGCGTGGACACGCCTTATTAATGCGTGGGAACGAGATCCTAATGCGTGGCCAGGACTTAGTAAGGTGTGGGAATGAGATGATTAAGTCGTGGCCACGACTTAGTAAGGCCCATGCTTTACTAAGTCGTGGCCACGACTTAATCAAGCATGGGCCTTACTAAGTCGTGGCCACGACTTAATCATCTCATTCCCACGCCTTACTATGTCGGGGCCACGCATTATTTTTATTTATACAGGATGTCACCAGCGGGGCTCCGTAGTTTCAGGCAGTTTAGCTAACTTACAAGTTGTCAAGTTTTTTTTTTCCATCAGAAAATGTAAACATACTTTACTGACTGTTTTCTTGAACTAACTTCACCTGGACAGTCCCACTTATTTTACGATTAACTACTAGCAAAGCAGAAACTGCGCTGGTCCTTTGCTGTCTAGTATGTTTCGTCTACTCAGATTAGGTTGTGTTAAAGTAATAAACATTATTTACTGTGTTAAACCTGGAGGGAAGCTGGTTATCCCACTGCAACACGGAGAGAGCTAACCTAGCTTAGCAGAGCTGAAACGTTAGCGGGCTAGCCCTTCGTTAGTCTAGCTAAGCTCACTCACATTGTACTTTACACATCTACCGGCTGGCTATATTATAAAACTAACCCCGCCATAGGTTACTTCTTTTACTTATTTAGCTATCTCGCAAACAAGCTGTTCTAAACAGTGTTTAAGGTGGCTGAGTTAGGGTTTTGAAGGAAGCTTTAGCCAAAACAGCTAACCTAGCCTAGCGTGTTTACACTGCTCTCATTCATATGAATGTACTGATCTGCGCAGCTCTCATTGAGTATATTTCACACCTTTGAACCACGTCTCAGACCGGACTCCGAAAACCAGTCCAAAAAGAGTGTTAACGTCTCGCTCACTTCATTCAAGGTGGGCGTTTGGTGCTAAGGCTAACGGTAAATGTTATGCTAACGGCTAAGTGGGCTAACGGCAGCGCCTGCAGAGGCTGAGCTGCGTTAGCTTAGCTTTAGCCTTAGCTTAGCGGGTCAGTGAGAGTAAACTTACCGGAGGAAATCTGGCGTTATATTTCTTCTTTTTGCTCGGCATCTTTGTTTTGGGTGTTTCTGCGCGACTCAGCTGAAGAGTTCTGAGTCTGACTGATCTCCTCCCGCCTGTGAGGGCGAATCCAGAATGATTTTAATCGCAATTCTAACTGTAATTTGAATGTTTTGGCTCGGCGGCTCCTTCGCCTTCTTCTTCTTCTTCTGCTGCTGCTACTTCCAGTCCTGCAGCCGGATCTCCGGATCTCGCAGGGTCGCCGCTTGATCTCGGGCTGTGCTCCAATATACGCTCCGTTGTGTTTTGTTTGACCTAAAACTGATACGATGGTGAATTTAGGAAGATACCATTAATAAAATTGCTTTTTAAAATTCTGTATTCATATTAAATGGCAGAGGTTTATACAGACATCGTAGGTACTGATATTATTATAGCACTAATATTGTTCATCAGCCCATCCAGTATGGTTCAGATTGGGAGTGGGCCTGCCAAAGTGGAAGGTCACTCAGGACCCTCGCGTGTTCATTCACAAACGGAGCCCCTGTTCTTTGGCTGCTTTAATGTTTTTCAGCTGAAATAATGTTATATAATGTTATTGTTATACAGCTGAAATACAGAGAATCGTGACTGGAGATGCTAAGGAGTCCAAACCAAAGTCCAAAATTTTGTTATTTATTTTAGGAATGTCTAGAGGACTGCTGTTTCACTGAGAGAGAGAGAGAGAGAGTAAGAGAAAGCAGGAAAGCAGAAAGAGAGACAGGGAAAGAGAGAGAGAGGTAGTCATTATCAGAGCAGTAGGCCAAGTCTGCAGGCTTGCTTTGCAATTTCTATTTAAAGGGGAATTCCACTGATTTTTCTTATTGTTAAAATGTAAACAAAGTCATCCAGAGTGGTTTGGTATAAAATGTTCTGTCTAGAGAAGCTGACCAGGTCAGACTGGTTTACAGTGGTGGTGATAGAAACCAGAAGTCTGAAGAGTTTAATGTCTCTAAAAGCTCCCTCACAAAAAGTTTTTACATTAAATGGTTATGAATCCACCACCTGATGCCTGAGACATTGTTCTGTTACAGTTTTCACGTCACGTTTTGGGCTACAGTGTACTGTAAAATCTATTAATGGTGGAGATACGCATGCAGGGTGTTATAAGGCAAAGTAGTCTCCAATTAAACTTTTGTGTTTCTAGATTTTGCACACTTTTAACATCATCAACATTACATTTAAAACTAAGAACACACGTGTCGGTTCACTGGTGGTTTTAAATAAAATGTCTGTATCTGTGTTGTAGACATCATGACACCTGGTTCCTGTCTCCACTGCTGTAAAGAAGTCTCAGTCTGAAAATTTCTCTACTGTGAACAATTTCACATCACACCACTCTGAATGACTTGAATTACACATACATTTTGAAAAATTTGTGGAATTGCCCTTTAAGTAGCTCCTTGACAATGTAATTCACAACCTTATTTCCAAACAAGATGGAACACAGTGCAAAATGTTAATAAAAACACAACACATCAAATGTTGAGAATAAGATATTTTATTGTTTTTTGAAAAATATATGCCCATTTTGAATTTGATGCCAGCAACAAGTTTAAAAAAAGTTGGGACAGTGGCAACAAAAAAACAAAAAGTAAAGTAAAGTTGTGTTATGCTAAAGAACACCTGGTGGAACATCTCCCAGCTAATCAGGTTAATTAGCAACAGGTCAGTAACATGATTGGCTATAAAAAGAGCATCTCAGAGAGGCTGAGTCTTCACAAGTAAAGATGAGGAGTCACCACCCTGTGAAAGACTGCATGAGCAAATAGTGCAACAATTCAAGAAAAACATTTCTCAACATAAAATAGCAAAGAACTTGTGGATTTCATCATCCACAGCAGTGTTCCTCAACCCTGGTCCTGGAGGTCTTGCACATCATTGCATTCCGTTTTTATTTACATTATTTTGCAGTGTCCCAATTTATTTGGAAACAGGGTCGTAGTTTTTCTTTTTATTTTTTAAACCTATTTATTTACTTATGTTCACTCTTTAATTAGTACCCTTAAATGTCTGCATGACCGTACCTTATTTTGTTTAAAAAATAAAAATCTTACATTGTTTAACAACGTTTTCAAGTCAGTTCCCCGTTCACGTGCACTCTACCTAGTGTTCTAGTTGTGTGTTCTACTCCGAATGGTCTTTCTAGTGCACAACGCAAGCGCACAAATTGGAACACAGCCCTGTATTCGAAATCAAACGTATTAGCTTAGCTAGCTCGCTGGCTGCGAGTCTACCGCCCGTTTTAGCAGTTTTAGACTCGTGATTTGCACTAAAGCTTCACGAGTCTGGGATGAGTTAGCACACTACACTTGTTTAAAGGTATCTCTACACGAATAATGCAAGTTTTCGCTTGGTATTTTTCGTTGTCATCGCCCTTACGTTTGTTTTCCTGAAATGACGTTGTGAATAAAGTTCGCCGTTGGGGCGCCGGGGAGCGTCTCTTTAGCGAGATCCTCGACAAAGAGCCGAAAGTGAGGGAACTGCAGCTGTGGTGCCGCCGTGGCGCAGGTCAGTGTAAAATTAAAGGCGTACAGTGGTCTGTTCGGGAGGGCTTTGCGGTAAAGTCGTTGTGTTGTGTTGGTATTAGCACGACGCTAATGTCAGCTTCTTATTTGTGAGCGTCTTGTTCGAATTTTCCAGTTCCACCTTAAATGGTGCAGCAGTTACGTCCCACTGCTGCACCTTTTAAGGTGGAACGGGAACATTCGTATAAGAAGCTGTCGAGTAGGAGAAACAACTTCAGCTTCGTGAGTTTAGCGCCGTGTTTCTGACCTCTCTGATCTCCAATGCACAAGTGGAGGACTGTTTTTGGGGCGTTAGCTGGTGGCTGACCACTGAAAACATGAAGGCGAGTTCACTCGGCTGTTTAGGTCTGCAGCTCTCATGGCTTTCACATTTCATTTTTCACATTTTTTGCTGAAATTTCCTCTCGTCTTGGTTGTGGAGCAGGTTTCAGCAGCCCCGTTGAGCACCGACGTAAACAAACTTCTCTAACTTTGTTTTCTGATTGAAGTTTGGTCAGTTTAAACCCATATTTGTGCTCCTTTTGAGTAAAACCATTGAAAGCATCTCCATAAAACTTCAGTGCTCCGGAAAATATCCAGCTTTTTAAAAAAGCATGGACATTCAGGAATGTTGAGTGTAACAGTACCGAAGAGAAACTGCTGAAAAAAGACCATTAAAACCTTCTGGTTTTGATTTCTAATGGGAATTGGCTCATCGATTATTATTAGAGACCACTAGTTTCCTGTAGGACCCCTTTAGATCCCATTAAATGCATCTGGAGTCAGTCCCAGTACATCTGTTAAACCATTAGAGCCGTTTACACTGTAATATTAACCCATCAGGAACACACAGAACATCATTACTGACTAGTGAACTCCACCAGGAACCAACAGGCATTTTCAGTGGTTTCTATGATTGTTATTCAGCAAGGTGTAAAATCGGATGTTTTTATTATTCTCATCACTATTAAAATATGTTTTTAGCGTGAAGACTTAATGATCCATCAGTACCTACCCGTAGGAACCATGGCTAAGAGGACAGGGATCCACTCAGGGCTGTTCGATTTCAGAAATTTTCGATTTGACTCAGATTACAAGTGATAGAATTGATTGAGTTGATTCTAAGAGTCAAGTCTACATGATGATTCACAAATCGAATCCGAAAACACGCAATGACTTATTAGGTCTTAGAAAGGTAGTTTGGAGTGCTAACTCTAGCTCAATAAACCTAGCTGACTATTGGTCATTAAAACACACCATCATTAAAAGTTATGACTAGTAACTTAAAGCTGCACTATGTAAGATTTTTTTTTTGTTCAGAAGGAAAAAAAACATGCTATGGTGTGTTTGTGGTGCTGCGAATTGCCCCGTAAAGCCAGAAATATTAATACTATGTAATACACAAAAAATCAAAAAGATCATCTGGTCTCAAATGCAAATAAACATCATACTGATGAAGATATGATGACTATAATAGATAACTCACTCACATCCACGGATAACTGGCCCTTCACCATGTTTTGATGAGTTCTCTTTCGGATGCTCTTTGAGTGCACTTGCAATCATCAGATTCATCACTTCCATTCGAGGAAGGAGTCTGGAGCACAACCTATGTTATAAAATCTAAATCTACACGCTGCATGCAATTACACACTGTCACCAAACCCCCAAAACGTACATAATGCAGCTTTAAATACTGTCTGGAACCATGATATCTTGAGTTTTATCAGTACCTCCCAGCACAAATATATCAGATACAATAATAAATATTTTGAAATTTGAAATGTCAGCATCACCTACAATTTCTTTTACAGGTGGCTAAATCTTGTTTTTCAGTGCGTAACGGAAAATAATAATAATAATAATAAAAAAAAATAATGAATAGCTGTAATAGTAGGTGCTACATTGTTAATGCATTGAATGATTAAAAAGTTAGTTAAGGTTATATTTGGTGCCTCACTGATGCAGTGGACCACTGATCATTGAATCAAATTCGAAAGCTTCTTGTCGAGTCTTGTTAAAGTTCATTGTTCATAGTGCCAGTTCTCTGGCTGTAGATTATGCCTAGTCTTCTGCAGTGGCAACAGTATTTCACCATTAACAATGCCACTTAGTGTGGGATTATAGGCCTAAACCATAATCTGGGTTTTGGAAAGCGAGTCATAATCATTCGATTTTTCATACTAACTTAGCTTTTTTCTCTTTCACAGAACAAGGGTGTGATTAGAACATAGGACACACAGTCCACCGCCAAGGTTCACCCAGCCTAAGGTCCAGCAGAAGGATGGAGGAGGAGGAAGAACATGCCGAGCCTCTTTCAGCGGAAGACTATGCTGCCGAGGCCTTGGCAGCCGACATGGATCCGTGGATCATATTCGACTCCCGCAAGACGCCTAGAGCTGAATTCTTCAGCTGGCTGGAGTCCAATAGGCCTTCTCAGGTCAGTCGTTTCGGAGATGGAGAAGGAGGCCTGGGGCCTGTAGGATGGATAGCCGTATTAGGACCAGACCATTGCCCAGTGCATGCAGATGTGACCGGCCTCCAGGAAAGCTGGGAAAAGCTGTTGGCCAGTGGGCGTCCAGTCACTTTCCAGACCATCAAGGAGCTGGCCTTGAATCATAACGTGCTCTCGGGCAAATGGCTAATGCACTTGGACACTGGCTTCAAAGTGGACCGCGCCTGGGAATGTGTAGCTAAAGCAGCCCTGGATGGAAAAATCTCATCGGTGAAGGTAAGCCCACGAGACCCAAACTCAGACACCAAGCACGTAATCTGCGTCTACAACAACAATTTTGCGGACGAAGAGCAGGTGATGCAGCTGGACGCGGCCATACGGGCTGCTGGTGTCAAGTGTCCGCTCTCTTACAAGCCGGACGTCTACACGTACCTGGGAATATACCGCAATAACCGGTGGAAGCTGTGTCCCACCATCTACGAGAGCAAGTTTGATCTGGAATGCGTGCCCAGACGCTCGCATATCATCAATAAAGTCACCAACTTGGAGGTTACATAAGGTTACAAACATTTCTACTAATTCCTTAAAGGGGAATTGCACAGATTTTTCAAAATTTTGACATAATTCTATTGTTGCAATGTAGTCACCTATAGAGTGGTTTAATGTGGTTCATTGTAGAGAAATGTACCAACTCAGATTTCTTTACAGTGGTGGTGATCGGAACCATGGGGTTGCAATGTTTACAGCACATATACAGTCATTTTATTCTGCTCAAACCAGTGTCACAGGAATCAGGCAACATATTTGTAACCATTTTCACATTTTCTTTGTGAGGTAGAGATTTTAAATACATAAAGATATTAAACAAGATAAAGTCTTCAGATGCTCTTGGCTCCTGTCACCACCGCTGTGAATAATTCTGACTTAGGGAATTTTCTCTAGAACAAAGCTTTTCACATCAGACCACTCTGAATGGCTGTGTTTACATTTCAGTGATTCAGTTGTGTGGAATTATGTGGAATTTGGAAAAACAGTGCAGTTTTCCTTTAAAGAACTACTGCAGCCTTTAACCTAATCTCTCTCTACCACATCTTTAAGCATATGGTCAGTCACCACAGACAAGCAGGTTCTCCCTTGTCTAAATGATCTGTGGTAATCGGGTATGTCCTGATGTGGTCGATGGAGATCTGGTTAAAAGTGCTGGAGCTCCTTCAGTGAGAATACATTTCAACTGCAGTCTGGTTGGGTGGAAAGCGAAAGTGCTTAGACTGACATCACCTATCCAGTGATTAAGGGTAAATGGCGAGGAGAGGAAGGAGCTTTTGCTTATTGAATTGAAGAAGACTGAAGATGTCTTTAGTGGTTGTGGATATCAGGTCTGTTCTCTTTCACTCAATACTGCTCCACTGACTTTCTGTTTCTTGAGTTTATATTCTGCGCTGGATTTAGCACCATTTTGTTGTAACAGACTCTGCTTAACTCGCCACCTGTTCCTGCAAATCACCGGCTGCTACAGTGCAAAGAAAACCCAAAATTTGTGTTGAATTGTTAACAAACAAGCACAACTCTTTTTCTTTCACTAAACTGTTTACTGCATTACTGATTTCGTACTGTACAGTAAATGGTAAAGTTACTGTACGTGAATAGACTCTGAGCTGAATGGCATCTGACACTAGTTTTGTTTAAGGGCTGCGAAAAAATTTGTGTTTGAAAAATTAATTCTTGTTTAATCTGAATAAAACTGTTCATTTTGTTTAGTATGTACTTGAGTATGTGTGAACATGCCAAATAAATGGTTTGATTGTTTTTTTTTTTTTGTGCGAGTCTATACGTTAAGCTTCCTATACTGGAGTTGACCCTGTGATCAGAAATCACCGTGGTTATATTACATTACTTAATATGTATCATCTCCAGTTAATCCACTGTTAATCCACAACGTAAACTCAAACAGCAGTGAGTGCTCTGACGACCTTTTGTTCTGTATTTTGAAATATTGTATGTTGTTGCCGTTTTATAAACACAACGAGCCACTCCAGGCTGCGTTGCAGTGATTTAGCCACAGTTGAAGCTGCAGTCTGGCCTAAATCTGGCTTTTAATATGTTATATGTCATGTTATGCAGTATTCTGTAGCATCCTTTGGCCTCGTCAGTTTACTATCGATTTTGTATGCTTTTTGGGTTTTGGTTCATCAATGTTCTCTCACTACAATAACCAGCGTGCATTGCACAAATATATCAAGCATTGGGAACCCCTCCATGGTAATAAAGAGATCCTGACTGCTAACCTAGCCACTAATGTAGAGGATAATAAATAAAGGTGATATCTGGTTTCCCAGCAGAACTCCATCATGTATCCACCCCTAAAAAGTGCTTCTACTTTTTTTAAAAGCCCTCCACCCCACACACACACAACCGGATCAGACACAGCAGTGCTGCTGGAGTTTTTAAACACTGTGTCCACTCACTGTCCACTCTACTAGACACTCCTACCTTGTCAGTCCACCTTGTAGATGTAAAGTCAGAGACGATAGCTCATCTCTTGCTGTACAGTATGAGCTAATCATCCTCTAGTCCTTCATCAGTGGTCACAGGACGCTGCCCACAGGACACTGTTGGCTGGCTATTTTTTGTTGGTGGACTATTCTCAGTCCAGCAGTGACACTGAGGTGTTTAAAAACTCCAGCAGCACTGCTGGGTCTGATCCACTCAGACCAGCGCAACACACACTAACACACCACCACTACGTCAGTGTTACTGCAGTGCTGAGAATGATCCACCACGCAAATAGTCCCTGCTCTGTGAGGGTCTATGGGGGTCCTGACCACTGAAGAACAGGGTAAAAGGGGGCTAACAAAGTATGCAGAGAAACAGATGGACTACAGTCTGTAACTGTAGAACTACAAAGTGCACCTATATAGTAAGTGGAGCTGATAAAATGGACAATGAGGGTAGAAACAAGGAGGTGGTCATAATGTTATGCCTGATCAGTGTATTAGATATTTTGATTGCTGAACATATAAGGCAACGTAATCAAAGACTCATTCTAAAGCCTGTTCAATCAAACAGATGGAAAAAAAATTGGAGAAACTGAAAAAGAATTTATCAAGCAGAGCAGACAGATTACAATCTACACACACTTTTTTTTACATGTTGGTGGTAAATTATGTAGTTTATGTTTATAAGAACAGTCAGTATAGATACAGTTCAGCACTCTGAATGCTATGACAATCTCTGTTTGGCAGCTCCCCTTATAATCTCACCACAGGAAAACAAAGAACTGTTCAGATTTAGAAGTTACTTACACAGATTTATACTGTAATACAATGAAATCAGTATCTTTCTTTTTGCAGCCACAGTCTACATACATTCTGACATTCCCTCTTGGTCAATAATGATGTTTCTGCTGTAAAGCAATTAGAGTATTATGTACAAAAGCTTCAGTCCGATTGGATTTACAGGAAAAAGCATATAGAACATTTGAGTATATGACAGAAACCAGCATTAGTCTACTGCATTGCATTAAAATGAACTGTAATAAATTCTCTTTTGTACACATTTTCATCAGGCACATTACAGTCCTACCCAAATTTACTGGCACCCATAAAATTTTTAAAACAAGCAAAACCTTTGGACTATCACACTGTTACTGCAATGAAATACAGGCTAAAAAACCTTCATTTTTAAGAACATTTTCTAATTTAAGTGACCAATTTCTCAATAGCACAAGATTTCAAGATAAAGCCAATAATAAACTGCCACCCCACACGTGTGTGTGTGTGTGTGTGTGTATTTACCAAAATATAGTATTTCCCATTTGTATCTCATTACTGCAACAAACAGCCATTAAGGTGTTTTTTTCTGTGCTACATAAAGTTTTGTTGTTTTAGTTTACATAGAATATATCAAAGAAAAGAGAGCCAACTGTTAAGAGTAACACAAACCCACTTCTGTCCAAGTAAAAAAAAGAAAAAAAAAAAAGAAAATAATAAATGGATAATGAGAAACAAGATATGTGGGTTCACTGTGGTAATGAGAACTGGGTGTTCTATATATATATATATATATATATATATATATATATATATATATATATATATATATATATAAATAAAAGTGTATATAAGTTTATACTGTACCATATACAGCTACCAGAGACCTACTAATTCTATGAATATTTATCTTCGTGATTCTGACACTCCTATTTTGGACATGATTTAAGGCAGTTTACAGTGACCTATATATTTTGGGGCCCAAGAACTAGTAGTTGCATAGCCTTTGCCAACTGACTGCTATCAATGATTGGAACAGTTTGTTAAATTTATGCACATTTAAACACATATTCGCATTTAAATTGATATTTCTTACAAGAAAATGCTGACCTTCACATTTTTGTACTTAGTCTTTCTCTTAAGAGAAATGGTAAGAACACCTAAGGATGCCAATAAAATTGGGAACTGTAGGTAAAGGAAGGCAAATATGATGCAAGCTAACTCTCATTTTATCCATAGGCACTGTGTGATAATGTTGGCAATACTGCCATACTAAGCATCATCCGAGAAACATATCTAACAAATATGTATCACAGCAACGTTTCACAAGTAAACACCCAGCCACACACAGGAAGAATATTACCATGATTTCTATAAAAAAAATTTTAAAAAAAGCACCAAATAAGAGGGTGACTCTTTAAAACCTTGATGAATTTGCAAACAGGGTCCCAGAAAGTCCATAAAAGTAACAAAATCCAGATTTCACTATGGCATTAATTGGAAATCAAACTCTGAAACCCTGGCAAACCCAGCCAAGGCTTCAAGCCAATTCTCACAGGTTGCTTAGGCAACCTTCCGAAATATTGTAAAGGTGTAAATAATGCAAAATAATAACAAACGATTGAGGCTGGCCTGAACACCACGTTGGTTTTGGTTTCTCTATTAAGTATTCAAAAGTTGTTTTTTTTTTTTTTCAATTTCAATTTTTTTTTCAAAAATTGTAGCTTAAACTAAGCCTAATGGCTTTTAGTTAGAACAGTTATTGTTTATATATGGAAACTGAATTCCATCCATCCATGCCTTGCTGTACTTAAAACACAGAGTGTTTTAACCTCTTGAACTACAGGCTTATTATTTAGTAACTAGTCAACCCCAAGTCAAAGCAGAGTTGTTTTTTACCTTGTTAGCTCACATCCACCGTCATATTATGCACAATTTATTGTATCATGCTAATTAAGAGACAAAATTCTTGGTTTCCTGTAACTGAAGTGTAGTGACTTTTGCCTGCTTTAAAAATATTATTTTTGGCTGTGTCATCATGCACTGTTCAACAGAGCAAAGCAGGGAAAAAAAACAAACAAAAAAAAAACATCGTTTTCCTCCCTGATACCGTGCTTTAGTCTAAAATATGTGATGATATGGATGGTCCAGGATTACTGTTGAGATGAGATCAGACCCTTCCATGTTTTTAAATCATTGGTGACAAACACAACTATATTGTGAACGACTAAACGGCCAGCGTTCCCTAAAGCATTACGCTCAACACTCCCTCTACCAGTTAAGATTGTCTAAACACTACGATGCTTATGGAAAACTGGCTGTGTGGGCTGAGTAACGAACTTTCTGATTGGATCAGATTGTTTTCTAGCTGCTGCAACTAAATAAACACAAAGTGCTTTTATCACCCCTCCTCCCCCCAAAAAAGGCATAATATTTCATATATTTTCATATATGACTTTCTTTTTATGTAAAAAAAGGATTCTGGATTCTGTGGCAAAATGCAACTCAAAGCAAGTCTCTATGTCTGATCCTTCTGAAGTTATCAAAGAATATGTGACACATGTGGACTTAATATTCAGGTAATGTGTAAGTTGACATGTAAATGACGTGAGAGTGAGGAATTTAAGTGTGGGCCTACATGAGACCATAATGTTTAAGGGGTTATGCTGAGTGTGCTGATATTTTAAGCAGCATATACGTGAAGTATACAGTGATGTCGCGTAAAATTATATGCCAATTTAGTTTTGCCATTTAAATTGTGCGTGTGCTATAATGAGACGACAGCATACCTATAAAATTGACACAGCGAATTGCTGATACATGCCCTGTTCACACTGCCCCCTTTTCTTCTGGACAAATTTAATGCAAATGAGCTGAGCGGCAACCAATCAGATTGTTGATATGTGGTGGTATAAATTATTGTAATAGTTTCTGCACATATTTTAACATTGGGCTTCTAAACTTGCTTGTGTTTTTTTGATACATCCCCGAAGCAGCCAAGCAATTTGGCTTACTGTAATAACGCAGTGGTACCTTAAACAGTGCACAGCTACTGCAGGTTTTAAAACATAAATAAAACGCCATATTTTTTTAATAATTACTTTTAGCAGTTGCAATCAAACTATGCTGAAATCTGTGAATGCTGCGGCCCCCTCAGCACCTTCACTTCCAGTGCCTCTGCTCCGAGCAGCTGTGGCTTCACAGACTTCTCAGGGTTTCATTACACTTACCAGAGCAGGTTCAGTACCTACTACTGTAATAATCGTTTTCCTTTACATTTCATACAGTTCTAAAGAAACGCTCAACTTGGTGGACCTTCATTATGTACTAAAGTCAGTATCACACGTTGTTGGTATCAAATATTTTGGGTATACAGCTGATCAAGAACAAAGTAATTAACTTCTCAGTGGCTAAATAGATGGTGTCCCAGATTGGTGTCCCAGCTCCAGAGGCACTATGATATTTTCACAATATAATATTGTGTCAAGTATAATTTCACAAGATTTGAAAGAGTAATTTCCCATTAGATATCCATTGTTTTAACACCTTGTTTTTATAAAAATAATTTGAAAAGAGAAATGAGAATGTGAATCTGCCTTGAGGAGTTTCATCTTCAACACGGTCCTCTCCAAGCACTTTGTGGCTATCCAAATTTGTTGGTCAACCTGCACAGGCACAGGGAAGAATCTATGCTATATTACACAGGACAAGAAAACCGGGGCTGGCCTCATTTTCTCGTATTCCGTTTCCTTTTCCCTTCTTGGAGTTTGGCTCTGTTCATCTTTGAATGATGCCTTCTTGGCAAAGAAATCACAAATCAGACTTGATATAAGGATGAAGTCGATTGAACAGTCAGATGTGACAGTATAGAACAAACAGGTCACACGTCTATAGTACCTAAGTTGGATGTCCAGACAGAAAGCTGACCTGGCTGCCACTGTTAAAGATGGACAGGAGGCGATCTTCGTCCATGGAGGTTATCACATCAATGTCGTCGAAGCCTACAGGGCCAGCGGAAACAGGCTGGGCGTTCGCCATCTGCTCGCTCTGCAGCAGGTTGACGATGCTTGGTGGAAAATTCATCCATGTAGTTGCATTGTTTCCCATGTTATTCCCCACCTGATTTGAGCCATTGCTTGCCATAGTGTCTGCGGCTGGAGTGGCCGTTGAACTGGCAGAAGCAGAATTCCCAATGCCGGACACTCCTTCTCCAGCCAGGACACTCTGGCCCAGCAGTGCTTGGAAATCTTCAATGTTGATGTTGTCCACGTCTGATGTCTGAGCTTCAGAAAAGCTTGGGAACTCTGGGAGATCAATGTCGTCCGGGTGGGGTTCCTCCCTGAAGGGCGCACCGCTCTGGGTATTGAAGTTGTTCTGGATTTCTTGGGTCACTGAAACTCCAGTTACATTACTTCCAGGTCCGTCCCTCCTGGCACTATTGTCAGCTTGTTCTGGAGCAGACTGAGGGAAACTGCTGAAGGAGAAGTCATGGAGGTCGGAGAGATTTACAGTGTGGAAGTCTTGGGAAACTGGCGAAGGGGCGGCCGGAGTAGCTGAAGGCACAGTCAGACTGTTGAGAAACTTCCATGTATCTCCAGCAGAGGGTGCTGGTGTTGGCTCTACTTTAGGCTGAGCGAAAAGATGACCCGGAACAGCGCTGAAAAAAGGCTGAGTCTTCACTGCAGGAACAGACGACGCAGCCACTGCACTTACCGCTAGAGGGAGACAGAAAGAGGGGTCCCGAAACAAATTATTTCAAGTGAGCGGCTTTGTCTATCAAAGAAACCAAAATCTAGTTTTAAAAACTCTACTTAAAAAATAGGGCAAAGAAAAATTCCTTAAATGTTGGTGAGTTACGATAAACTAATATGAAATTAATCAACTATCATAACCCAGCAGCTTTGTCTATATACTTCCAACCCAAGTTTGTTTTTTAAAGATATACATATTCTGATTTTCTGACAGACACAGAACATGAAATATTTCCAAACTATTTTTACACAACAAAGCACAGCCCCACACCAATTTTTTTCCTTAAGCAAAAAAAGTTAAGGAAAAACAGAAAACATTTCGAATTATCATAAACCTGTGGCCAGTGGAACGATTACATCAATTCAGTTCAGGTTAATTTTAATTTGTATTTCCTAACACTGTATCCCAAAGTAGCTTGTGCAGAAATGTGGGTGCAGCCCCCTTATGTGTCACGAGGGAGACAGTGTCAAGAAAAACTTCTTCCAGATTTTAAAAAGCACAGACAGACGTAACAGAAGGTGAATGGAAGTGTATTTACCTGGAGAAACATTTGCGGCAGTTGAAGGTTTAGGAGCTGTAAATGTCCGTCTTGCGGTATTGTACGGCCTTCTGTCGGTCATGGGAGCTAAACAAATAGGCACATATTCAATACATTTCCATTACTTTCAGTCAGCCAAAAATCGCAATATAAATACATATAAAATTATTAAAAGAAAAAACAGCTGCCTATTTAAATAACATGGAATCAAAGTGCTACATTGAAAGTAAAAGGAGACTAATGAGTCATGCATGATTATGCTGCTACATTTTGGTACAGGTGTAGCAGCATTCTCATACAATGCCAGTATAATTGGCAGTACGAAGCCGATTCCTAAAACGTAGGCCAGTTGGTAAAATGCGGAAAGCAGTGATTTGGAAACTCTTTTACAGTAAACAGTAAAAAGAAGAGATATTTAATATTATACCTTATCAACACATTCCAAAAAATCTGGGACAGGGACAATGTAAGACTGGAAAGTTAAATACTGGGAAAACATCCACTTTGGAACTTTCCACAGATAAAGAGGTGAATAGGTAACAGGTGATGTCATCATGATTGGATCACCACATCACCGCTTGAGAATAGTTTGGATAACCCAGGTCAGTAAACACAGTTTGTTGCTGCGTCTGCAAAGGCAAGTTAAAACTCTGCTTTGCAACACGTAAGCCATATATCAACATCCAGAAACACTGCTGACTTCTCTGGGCTAAACCCCATCTGAGATGGACTGACATACAGGGGAAATGGGTGCTGTGGTCTGACGAGCCCACATTTTAAACTGTTTATGGAAATAATGGACATTGTGTTCTCCAGGCCAAAGAGGAAAAGGACTATCCCCATTGTTAAAAAAAAGGTGGGGGTTAATATAAGACAGTGATAAACATGCCCCCATCCTAACTTTTTTGGAACCCATTGCAGGCAAAAAATTTAGAACAAGTGTATATATGCAAAAAAAATTAATTTGTTGAAATATGAAATATCTTGCGTTTGCCCTGTTTTCAATTAAATACATGTGAAAAAGGCTAATCATATATAAAAAGCATTTTCAAATCATCGGTATACATATGACCAGCCCTTTTTTTGTCTTTTAGGGCAAACACTGACATGAAAAAGTATTTCCCCTCTTCCTGATTTTCTGCGGTAGTGTTAGAGTGTAGAATTCACCTGGTGGGATGTTGCCAAGTTTGAGATTCTGCAGCATTCCTTCTGTCCGCTTCCTTTTCTCCACCAGCCTGTACTCATCTGCTCATCAAACAGTAAACAGACAAAACATTTAGTTTGTTTTCAGCGTTTTTAGCAAGTTATTCAGAAACACCAACGATTGTCAATCGTTTAATCGATGATTAAAAGGTGATTAAAAGGGCTCTTCTATTGTTACAAGCTTGACACTGTTTAAGGTAGAAGAGCCCTTTTAAGTACTATATAGAACCCTTTTCAAAATGTTCTATACTGAACCATCTACAGCATATTCTCCATCAGTCTGAGGAACTCTTTCATGATGCAAAGAGCCCTTTAATCATACAAAGGGTTCTTTGAGTGTTCATGGTTCTGTATTAAACCTATTTCTTTACTAAAATCTGCCATCTGAGACGTCAGTAGTTAAATACTGAAATCACTATTCAGGTATTTGTTACAGTTTTTATTACAGAAAGACAGAGAAAATATACCGGCTTTATCGCTAACCAGGCTAACTACTCAAGGTAACGTTAGCTATGTCCAGAAAAAAAGATATTTCTCTGTCCTGTTCACTCGAGTGTTAAACCGACAAACTTACAGCTGACACACGGTCAGCTGAGGACGAAAGACCTTGTGTAGAAAACGAGTCATTGGCATCTGATGTTGTACTGGTTAGCTGTTGTGTTAGTGTTAGCTCATCTGAAGAGGCAGCCTTTGTTACTCAGCTGACACAAAAACCTACCGATATCCCTCAGCTGTTTCTGAATGATAAAACCGTTTCAACTGTATTCCTCTGCATGCGGTGAATGTTTTGTGCTACTGAACCGTTTAGTTAAGTACACTTACAGCCCTACATTAACTTTAGCCAAAGCCGATTTGCTTGTTAATCAAATATCCGTTCATTAACTCTTACATGTTCTCAATTAGCAAAATTCATTAGAATTCACATGCTTAACTCAAACGGTGTCGAGTTTTTAAGTAATCTCAAATAGACCCACTTATTTAGGTTTTGACACTGTGTCCCAGATTCGTGGACATGGATTAGCCTAGACCAGGACTGAATTGTTACATTAACGGTAGTTTACCAATGAAAATCTTTTTTTAGTCTAAAATTTTAATCAATGAGTCGGGGAAACCGGCCCGATATGACTTATTGTAATCTATGAAGATGGAGAAGTAGTTGAAATCAGTTTCAGCAACCTTGAAGCCTGGATTTTGTCCAAACTTCTGTCTGTTTTGTCCCATAAAAACTGTGTAAATTTGAGTTTCCAATAAGCTCCTTGTTTAAAGAGTCCAATAGTAGAGGTCATTGAGTACAAAAACTCTGAGATTCAAACCAGCAACCCTCTGATGGGGATAGGCTCCTGAAATGATACACCCACTGACCAACACTGTTACACATTAAACAAATCTGTCAAATACTGTGCGCTTTTTCTTTACTAAGCAAACCAGTCAAATCTGGAGCAGCGTGCTTGTTGCACAATGAAGTGAGTGTAGCAGTCTGTGTGTCATGATTGAGGATGTGACTCAGTGTTTGTGCCAGAGAGGGAAAAGCAGTATCACCTCAATTCCTGAGCTCTAACACTGACATCAGATCAGCTGATTACTTCTGTATAAACGGTGGAGTTTTAAAGCTTCGTACCACTCCAAACTGCTTTAAAGCAGTACGGCTGGAACAGTGCAGATACACACTGCTACAGCATTCGGACATTTTAAACACATGGGTAACCAGAGGAATGTAGGGCATTAGGGTGTGGCTCAAAATGGAATTCCAACAATTAAAAAAAAAAATAAAAATCTGCATAATTACATTGTTGAAATTTAGTGCAAAGCATTTCAGGGAGGTTTGATGCTAGAGGAATTTACCAAAGGTGATGGGAACCAGATGTATTATTATTATTATTATTATTGTTATACATGTAAATACATCATTTTATAAAGCTACACTCACTAAAATTTGCAGAGAAATGTCAAAAATAATTTATTCTCTGTAAAGGATGTGTTTTCACTTAGACAATGAACAAATCATGTCATTTGACCAAGGGTGTTCAAACTTTTGCATACAACTGCAGCCTTTCTAAAAGCCTTTCTAAATGAACTTGCTTTGTCAGGACAGTTTTAGGTTCAAATTTTAGGCGGCATGTTTTCCTCCAATTTAAAATAAAAACTAAATATCTGTCACAGGTAACATCACAAAAACAAATTCATTTTAGAGTAGACTTTGCAATCATTATGAGCATATATGAACAAAAAGTGGCTGCGTGTACATATTTATGCGTGTCATCATAGCTGACCTGGGTCGGAGGGCAGGTACTGGAAGTCCATTGGCTCGCTGACCTCGCGGTCTGAGGGCCTGCGGAGCTGCATCTTCACCCGGACAGGCTCTGTTAGGTTGGTGTCGCAGTAGGGCGGCGTGCGGAACACGATGGCCACCTGCCTGTGGACGTCAGCCTGAGAGAATGAGCCTTTACTTTCCCATGAGTCTCGGAAAAAACGCACCTCAATGTCCTCTGCAAGAACAGGGAGGGGAGAAGAGGTTGTAAAAGATGAGCGAGCAAAAACAAGAAGAGTTCATTCAAACAGTCTGGCACTCGAAGTTACGGAGAAAAGTTACCAAACAAGCATTGTTAATGTTTATTAAAACAAGTATATTAATGTTTAATTCAGGCATAATTATTTGCAATGATGCACTGAACTAAAGTGCTTTTTTCACATGTAAAAATGAGGACAGTCAAAGCTAATGAATGATCAACATTAACCTATTAAATAATTAAGGCCACAAATTTTTTAATGCGTTTATGCATTTCCCTAGTTTGACCCTTCAGGGATCGTTCACTTTGTAAACACTGGAATTCCACGACTTTGACATGACATAAAATGAAATTCCCATGGCACACATTTAGAATAATGTTGGCCGGTATATCACTGTGATACCGACATACCATTTCCTGTTTTAGTGATATTTTAACAACATATTCGATGGATGGATCACTTTTTGTGCACTTTACTCAAGGTATGCAGTCCTTGATGCTCTACATTTAACCTTATTTGCTTAAATTCAGGAAGCATAAGCTCATTAACTTTACTACTGTTAAACTTTAACATCATCTGCTAGCGCGATACCGTGATATGTTTGAAAATATCATAATATTAAATTTTATCAATTAACCAACACTAATTTAACAGACAGCTGTTCCAGGAGGAAAAAAAGAGCTACATTATCTAAATATTAGTTTGATATTAAAATGTTAAAATGCAGTTTAAATGAATGTCTGCGAGTGAAACTGAAATCTGACCCATGTACGGACCAGGTTTAACACTCTGACCTCACAGAACGGATCGGTTACTTTGCACAATACATTAATGATGTTTCACAACTTCAGAGCCTATACATTTAGTTTTCCATATTCTCAAACACGTCCATCAGTTTCATTTGCACAGCGTGGTTTAGCGTCTTGTCATAATACATTATGATTAAGTGGACATCATACTCCATTTCAGTGCATTTAGCTCGAAATCAAAGGAGTTAACGCTAACAAAGACATTTATTTAGACATATTCAGTTTTCTAACTGAAGTTTAGTTTGGGAGGGATCAGTTCTATATGGTGTGGGAAGGTAATGTATTTATAGGGCTACCCAAGTTTCTCAGTGATTTTCGTTCTGTCCAAATCCACAATGTCAGTGACTTTTGATGCAATTTTTACAGTATTTACGAGATAGCAGAGAAACAGACCTCTAAAAGCTGACACAACCCAACCTGAGGTAGAAAGCACAAGCATGTTTTTATGTAACTTCGATACCTCGTTTGTGATGTAAAAAGGATGGAAGAGTTAGTTCACAACTTTTGAGTACCCAAACAGTACCACAAAGACTGTATCTCAGCAGTTAGCTCATCATTTCTTAGCTGCAGCTGCAACATATGGTGTTAGGTTAGCCACCGCGATGCAGACTGAGCACTGTGAAGCCTGAATGTCACACAAGACTCGGTAGATGGCACACCAACCCGAAGCAAACATGTTTACTTTTATAGTAGCTTCCGTCGTTGCAGTTTTGTCTATGATGTGATATGATCGTGCTCTCAGGCTCTCATACAAGCGCCTGTTGAGGTGAACCTGCTCAGCAAATCTCCCTAAAAATACATTCATTTATGGCCATTTGGAGCAAAACAAGTTCAAACATGCAAGTTAAATTTTGTGCGTTAACACATAAAATTTAGTTGTGATAACGTGACAAAAAGCGTGTATACATGGTTTGATCTCTGCCAATGGGAGGCTTAAAATGTGGACATACATAATGTATATTTATAACAGGAATTTCCACACACATTACATCGAAACTTAAAGCCCATGTGAACGTAGCCCCCTTGTTTTGTGTGAATCATTCACGATATAGTAATCCGAGTGCTCACGCTGAGCTGACCTCATAAGACGTGTGGGTGCTTCCAGACCACAAGACACACCCACTCTGTTAGTCTTCTGCTTTTTCGAGATGGTGCAGCTTACTGAGGTAGATTCAGGGATTCTGTTAAAGTTAACTATGTGCTTAATACTAATATATATATATATATTTTTTTTTTTTTTACAAAGCATATTCCGCAGTTTAACATGTTTTACCGAAGTAGAATTATGTGGTCCACTATATGGTCTATAACTACACACACTGTAACGTGCGAGGTTCCCTGAAGAACCTCTGAGTATAAATATAACGTTAAAATCTGCTTGACCATAAAGTCGTTAGCTTTGTTACCTAGTATTCATTAACAAGCCAGCAAACATTGGAGTTCAAAGCACTGGCTGCAGGTTTTTCTAATCAAGCACAGCACCTGTTTATTCAGCTTGTCTTCATGCAAATGCTTAGATTTAAGGTGTGGTCCTGCTTAGTAATGAAAAACTACAATCACACCTCCGGGTAATTTTAGTGCAGCAGAATTCATTACTACATGTTTAGGTTGGTTCGCTGGAGACTTATTATTGCCATTATTCAGTTTACTTTAGCATTAGCCTCATAAATGTGCTCTGGAAAATGCTGATGTTGGAGTAGGTTAGGTTTGTGACCTATATTTGTGTTGACATTAACTTAGTTTGGTGTTAAATATGATGATTTAGCTGGAAAGTCTTTTGGTGAAGTACTGATGTAATCATGTGTGAAAGCTGACACTTTAATCTTTTGTTTGTTTCTTCCTGTTACATGTTACTGTTCGCTCTCAAGGGAAACGAGACAATCTGTGTGGGCCTAAACATGTACAAGTGACACATTGGCAGCGTAGGGATTCGCTGGGGTGGCACATTTTCAGACAGCACCGTGTAAGAGCTTAGAGAGACTACAGTATTATACCAAACAATAATGAACTAAAATTACAATGTATTTTTTCAATCCCCAAAAATCATTTATAGTAAGCCCTGATGGTTCCGTACTGCCTTACATAATATTTACATTTTGTAAATATATGTTTTTTCAATAAATGGCGGCTTCTTTCGGGTTTAGTCACTATTTTACAACATCCTTCCTTCTTATTCTTAAACTGACCAATCACTGTTAAACACATAAACAGACTTTCTAGACAAAAACAAGTCAGTTTATACACGTAATAACAATGTAATATCAATGCAAGTTCTACAGTTCATGAAATAATTTAGGTACTTGAATGAATTCTAAATTTGGGAAATGTGTAAATAGGCTACTAGGCACCATGTTTTAAACTTTCCCTTTTTACAAAGGTCTTTATATAAAATATCACAAATTTAATTGTACAAGAAAACGTTACAGGCCTACAGAACACTAATGCTAATCGAGACTAACCATTACCATACAGAAAAGCAAATGCTACAAAGACTATAACTGTAACAGTCGGAACTAGACGATGAACAGAGCACGATATTGTAAACAAAAACAAAATAAACGTAGCTGCAAACTGCAATTCGAGGGCTGAAGCAAGAGTAAGCACAAGGCTCTCAGTCCTCCACCAGTTTGGCTCAGGTTGATTTATTCATTAGTTCACCCACAAGCACTGTCCTGTGTAACCTGCTGATCGTTTTAAAAGCCATTTAAAAGCTGATTTCTGAATGACAGGGCTGCAGTCATGAAGTCCATCACAGAAAACATACAGTGCGCTGCAGCTGGGCTTCAGTCTGCACTACTACAGATAGTTTGAACTACAATGCACTAATGCATTGTGCAATGCAATGTGAAAATGCATCAACACCATAATTAACTGTGTGTAAAGTGTAACTTAGCTCTTCTATGTTTATTTTTTTTATCCATTTCAATGCAAATATTTAGTTGTTATGATGCTTAGACACTATTCGTTTGAAAAGGAGGATTTTTAAATGGGTTAAATGGGTTTCATTTCTAACATACACACACGCACCTTTTTGCACTTTGTCGCACAGTAGAAAGATCTCGTCTCCTCCCTTGCAGCTGCCAGAGTTCCTGTTCACCCGACAGATCTTCAGCTCTGCAGTGTTTGGAGCTCCTGTACAGATGACAGATAAAAGATAGAGACAGAACAGTGTGGCATTAGTAACAAACAAAAGTTTCTCACGGTTTCACTTCAGGGCCCAAACTGTGATTGTAAATGACGAATAGAAATGGGTTGTTTGTGTTGTTTGTTCACAGCTGCTTCCTATACATGCTTCTTAGTGTGTTAATGTAATGCAATAAATAAACTACATTCAAGTGAATTTAAATGGTGTTATTTTAGTTCAACTTCAAAACAAACCTGTTTTTTTATTTGCATAAACACGTTCTAATTTCCATATCAGACACACAGAGCACTGTGTGTGGTAGTAATGGTACAGTTACAGATTTATTGATATACTGCAATATAAAATTCTACATATTAACAAATACTTCTTAAGAGTCAGAGTGGAACACCGGTCCTGTAAGTTGTGAGGTGGAGCTGCCACAAATCAGACTTCCTGCTCCAACACGCCCCACAGATGGTCAATCCGACTGACATCTGGGGAATTTGGGGGCCAGAACCACACCATGAACTCTTCATCAGGGTCCTCAAACCATTCCATAACAATGTGTTCAGTGTGGCAATGTCCATTACTTCGCTGAAAGAGGCCACTGTCATCAGGGAATGACACTGCTTTGACGTCCACAAGAATGTCCAGACCCAGGGGTTCTACTTCCTCAGCGCCACAGTAGCCCTTCTTTCAGTTCAGACCAGACGGAACAGCCTTTATTGCCCTTGTGCAACCACTGTCGGTAGGTTCTCACCACTGCTGACCAGGAGTCTTGCTGTTTCAGAGATGCTCTGATCCAGTAGTCTGGCCATAACAATCTGCCTCTTGTCGAAGTAGCTCAAGTCTTCATGCCTGGCCAATTCTACCATATCGGACGCATCAACTACAACAACCGACCGTTGTTGAAAGTGTCACTCAAGACATGCAGCAAACCATTTAATGTCATCCTCATATCCTATCAACGCTACCAATGTATGGCTAGCAAATTATGGGTCTTGCAATAGCAGTGATTGAATATATAAAATACGTAAAATATCACAGTGGTGGTGACTTCTTTTTGAGCTTGGGGTGTGCCTTGACTTCAGTTTTTTGGGTATCTCACTGTACAAGCATCCATATTTAGATGTTTTAACTCTTCCAGGTGATGGCAGTCACCAAACACTAGTACAATTAAGACCTTCATCGGTTCATTTATAACATAGCAGTAGACACACCAAGTCAATTATGAACCTAATTATCAAATAAACCCACAGAGAACAAAGATTTAGCTGCTACTGCTCTTTTTAAGGATCTGGCTGAACATTAATTGTGTAGCATAGCGTCTCGAACACCATTACTGTGGTATATAATCATACTGTTCCAACAGGGTAACCCATTTTACTTGAACAGTTACTGCACGTTTTAATGGATGCTGCCCTAGTCAGAGTTCTTATTTGTCCTCCAGACTCACTGTTGTCGTAGATGGGCTGAGAAACGACAGGCTCCAGAGGGAACAGATCTCCGCTGGGCAAAGTGATGGTTGCCTGGAAACAGAGGCGCACAGCGTTCAGGTCGTACTCCTCCTCCCATACTTTAGCCTCAGGAACTGAAACGGCGAGAGAACAGAAGATGGGTGGGGATCAGAGAGGAAAGCAAAAAAAGCAGTAATATCCTGGGGAAGTTGACATGGATAAGACCACTTTACAAAAACACACGCACAAAGAATGAAAGCAGAACCAGACAGAAAATTTGACCCGTTAATTACTGTCCAAAGTACATTATGTCTAATACGATATTTACTTAATTTGACACAAGCAGTTTATTTAATACGTTTTAAACAGACTTTTAAACTGACATTTAATTTTAATTCAACGTTTGATTATTTTCACGTTTTTCATTGATATATATTTTCACACAAGAATCTGCAGCAAAACTTTTTATACTTTTGGAAACAGTGATTCCACACTTGTGAATGGTAGTGCATATGCAGTCCTACGCTATGGTCTGGGCATCCGTGGTCAAACTACATGTCATATCAGGTGCTGTTGTCCCCTAAAGAAGATGGGCTACTTATTTGAAATTAGAAAATGACAGCCAAATTGATCGATGGGTGCAATCATAGCATAAGACCATAGACTATATACACATTAGCAAATAAACAGAAATAGTGCAATAAAATATGCAAAAATTATATTTTTCTGTTCCCTGTAGAGGATGTGTTAACGTACTGGCGCTTAGAAAAATCAACAAAACATATAAATTCACCAAGAATGTTCAGAACACACACACACACACACACACACACACACGCAAAAGTCTTAGGCAGCCAAGAAAGTTGTTTAGTTAATTTTTTTTTTATTATTTATTATGTGTTGTTTAGCAGAATCGAGTAAATACAACACAGGTTTGGTTCCTGACTGCACTCCACCACATGGATCTGTTCAGTTCCATTAACAGCACCTGATGTGATTTGATTCAATGAAGGATTAATTAAATGAAGTAAACACTGGATGGTAACTGTCACTACTGGTCATCCTCAAGGAGAGCTTTGGAAATGATTAAACTAACTTCAAGAAACAACTGACTGTTTATTTGTAATTATCCTAATATTGAAGTCTGTTGTTAAGTTAGTTTTTACAGTTCCTAAATTAATAATGTAATAAAACACCCAGTAATACCTTTTGGTGTGTAGTTTATGATGAAGCTAAATTGTTTATATTTGTTATACATATTAATTACTGTATATAAAACAGCAAACATTTGAACAGTATGTATATTTGTCAGACTTCATCGCAATTATCACTGAACCAGTATTGAACTGATTAATGTCCATATTTGACATTTTAGCTGTAGTCCTCATGTTCTCAGAGCCTGCCAGACCACAAACCTGAAGAAAATTTTCAAAATCAGTCAAATCATACAACTAAAAAGTGAATGTTCATCTCTTATCATACCACTTTTGGTTTCATGGGAGAGCTGATTTATAATAAAAATAATGGAAAATAATAATAATAATAACAAATACAAAAATTTGATTCTGAATAAATGTGTGAAATTGGTTCTGTTAGACGTTAATCTAAAGTACAACTAGAAAAAATACCACTTTAAGCCGCCCAGTTTGTGTTTTTTGTTGCATTCATGGTTCTAAGCACAAAGGGTAACCGTTCTGGTGGCTTTTCTACATGGACACAGTCCAACATCTCAACACGGTTAGCTAACCATGCTTGGGCCCACAGAACTATTCAGTTTGATGCAGCCATTTGCTGACTGGTTCTACACTTACGAGGGAACTGTCCTACAGCATCCTGCCTTGCTTTAAATCCACCATGCAATAAATGCTGATCTAATAACAATCTCTAAATGTTAAACAGAGCTGCTAAGCAGGAGAGAGTAGCTGGTTAGTACTAGCTTAGCTAGTACTAAGCTCTGCTTACCACAGAACTGGTTCAGTTCTGACTAATAAAAGCTTTGCTGACACATCTGGATAATAATGACCGAAATCTGACGAAGTGAAGTCAAGTGAACGGGTGCTGTTCACTTTTCCTTATAATACTGAATGTAGCTGATGGACATAAATGAGTTAATATAACACTGCATTATGAACAGCTGGATTTTCTGTGTTGTTATTGTGATGAATTACATAGAGCTCAGTATGACTCAGAGGCGGAGGCGCAAGTGCGTGCGTGTATCTCACTATTAAAAGGGTTGTTCTGCGTCTGCATGCGGCAGGAAATAGCTTCAGCCACATCCTTCTTCTTCACGCACTGAATACCAAGGTTCTGGAAACTGTGACAGAGAGAGAGAGAGAGAGAGAGAGAGAGAGAGAGAGAGAGAGAGAGAGAGAGAGAAATGAGCAAGCAAATACCATATATAGGCAGCTTCATGACAGAGTAAAAGCAAAAGCAAACTGAAAGCATGCGGGGTGTTTCTAAGTGGCTGTATGTGACGTGTAGAAACAGACACATGGGGAAGGAACCAGATGGGGCTTGTGAAAAAAGAAATACTAATTTTGGTACAATTTCTTTGATTCAGCCAAAAACATTAACTAGGTTTGAGTTCATAAAGCGCCTCAGCAGAAGTGCTGACCCAGTTTTACTCTTCGGCACACTGAAATGATACTAATACAAATGCTAAAACTACTACTACTACTAATAATAATAATAATAATAATAATAATGATAATAGTAACAAAAAGAACAACGATCCCTACCTGGTTATGCAAATATCTGACTAAGTGCTCCACTGCATTCCTATTCAATATCAATTATCAATATTGATCATCAATACCAATAATCAATAAATAAATTACTCAGACATCAGAAAGAGCACTTATATCACAGCACAACACTGGACAGTCATTTGAAAATATACAGTAAAAATAACTAAGTATTGAGATTCCTGACCCAATCCAGTGATTCGGGAACAGAGCTGATGCTAGCATTATCCGAAAACTGCATCAGGGAGGCGTCTTATCAGAAGCTAATAAAGCTGTTTAAATGTCTGCAGTGCGGAACTCTTTTACAGAATAAAATGCTTCGATTGTGTTTCGCCATGCCATCCATATTTAACCTGTGAGTTACGACTGGTTAAAAACAAAACGTGGAAACGATTTGTTTAACCAGCGGTGCCACTTAAAACTGCTGTTGGCCAAAAGAGCTCATCCAAAACTAGGAAAATACCACTGCATGTTCATTAAAGGCTATAAATGACTCTTTTTAATGAAACTAAAAGCAAAACCAACAACCAAACCACCAGCAACAACGTAAGAATTTTCATAAAATATACACCAACACTTCTACTATGGTAAAACTAATTAACTAACTGTAATAAGAACTGAAATAGGGCTACAGGGAACTGAATAACTCTCCAGCAGGTGCACAGCAGTTCAATTTAAGTTACAGAACTATGTGCTTACCGGATGAGCAGAACAACATTTTATCACAGATTACTGGTTGGTGAGGACGCTCCTGATAAAACATGATTTTGCAATGCTTAGTATCAAGAGCAGGAAAAATCCAAAACAAATAAGACCAAATATGGGCTACAAGCTCTGCTACTCGGTTACATGATTTTGTGATTACTAGATGGTTCACAAGATAGAACAAGCCTATACAATGTGCTTAAAATGTATGCATTCATTCATTCATTTATTATTTTATTTTGCAGTCCTTTGCTGAACTTTCCAGACACTGGGCCTCTTTACTTTAGTAGCTATGTTCCATCCTGTCCAATCATTGAGCTTCCTGCCAGTGTACTTGGCAATTGTGGCCAAATCTCCACTTAAATCCTGAGACCTGCCCTCACAATGTAGTTCACAAGTTCAGCTATTGACACAGTGATTACTCAAAGAGGCTGACATAACATGTTCACTCATAAAGGGCTGGATAAAAAGCCAAAAAGGACAGAATCAGTTGTATTCGACAAAGCAAAAACACATACAATGTAGAAAGCACCTAGAACTCGTACTAAGAACCTCTAGACTAATAACAGACATGAAAACTCATGAGCAGTGAAAAAGGTGACCAATACCCTGTAGGATCGCCCTACCGCAGCAGTGCTCCTCTGACAACACTGTATTGATTTTACCATGAAACTTAGGAGCACCTTGAGACTCAAATACAAGAAGAACTGCTGTGGAAATACTAAGCTTGTTGAGTTCAATTAATTAACGATGTTAATACAAGTCATTTTCGAAGTATTCTGACTCATCTGTTCAAAGCCTAATGCTATCGATTATACTCAGAGAACATCATAAACCTCTCTTTAGTTGTGTTCGACTGCCTCCATAACGGCACAGAGCGCTTGGACCCCAATGACTGCCCGAATGAAAGTCTGAAACAACTGGACACCTGTAAAATGAGCTGTAAAAATGATCTAAACCATATCCAGCCATCTCAGACACCAGGTGTTGTGCCGAATTCTGACCCCTCTTTGTGTGCACGCACTAGGCCCGGGTGATATCTAACGTAAATATCATCCATTCAAGCTTGGTATGTTTTATTAGTGATAGAGACACTTTTACCAAACTAAAATATTTAAAAAGTGGTATTGCCTAAGTATCAGGACTAGTTAGGTTAGATAGTGTTTGCATAATGTGGACAGCAAATATGTCTTGGCCAATTCATTACATCTAGGGTAGGTGAAAAATGAGTTTTTGTCGCTGAAATACTCATTTAATCCACAGGGAAGCTTGCGTTAGACGCAGAAGACAAGAAGTTCACCTCTCTCATACACAAAAAAAGGACATAAACACGCACCTGTGAACCCGTCTCTCCGGAAGGTCGGCCTCGTAGTATCCATGCTTACAGTCTTTACCCACCAGCTCGTGAGGGTGGGGCTTGTAGGGCTGGTTTTTGGTAACCAGGGAGATCCTCACTCTTAAAGGGCCACTGTAGTTATGCACCTGTCGAAACAAGCACAGGAAGTGTAGATTACTATCTGATCTCTCACTGGTGGCTGCATGTCAAAAGTTCCTCGAGTCCTGCTGTTATGTCATCGCAGTACTGTGGAGAGGTCGTTATATTGGACTTTGCTTAAATACTAATTTTAAAAAACAAACAAAAACAAAAAAGACGGTTTAAGACGGTTTATATACATTATAATCACAAACGCTTACGTAATAATACGTAAAGGATGAAAGAAAGAAGGCAGATTTATTTTGGACACATTCTTATTAAAGGAACAGTTCATCAAAGAAAAACATAAGCACACTGACTTCTGTAGTGGATACCTTCTCAATTTATCAGCCCTGTAAGTGCTAGCCCTGCCCCTAGAATTCACACCTTAGACTAACCTCAAACCACAACTATTGCTACAAACTCATTTCCAAAAAAGTTGGGACACTGTGCAGAGTAAAAGATAAATAAAAAGAGAATGCAAGAATATGCAAATCATGAAAACTATATTTTTTAAAGGGAAATAATACAAAGAAGTTGGGATGGGGTTATGTTTACCACTGTGTTTCATCACCTCTTCTTTAAACAACACCCTGTAAGCGTTTGGGAACTGAGGAGACACTGCTGTAGTTTTGGAAATGATATATTTCCCATTCATGTTTGATATAGGATTTCAGCTGCTCAACAGTTTGAGGGCTCATTTGTCGTATTTCTCATTTCATAATGTGCCAAATGTTATCAGTGGTGACAGGTCTGGACTGCATGGCAGGCCAGTTTAGCACCTGGACTCTTTTAATATGGAGCAATGCTGTTGTAATATATAAAGAAATAATCAAGGCCTTCCCTGAAAAAGACGTCGTCTGGATGGCAGTAAATGTTGCCAAAACCTGTATATCTCATTCAGCATTAATGGTGCCTTCACAGATGTGCATGTCAACCATGCCATGTGCACTAATGCACCCCATACCATCATGAATACTGGCTTCTGAAATGTGCACTGATAACAAGCTGAGTGGTCTTTAGCCCAGAGGACATAGTGTCCATGATTTCCAAAAAGAATTTCAAATGTGGATTTGTCGGACCACAGGACACTTTTCCACTTCCACTCAGTCCATTTTAAATGAGCTTGAGCCCAAAGAAGGTGGCAGCACTTCTGGGTCCTGTTTATATATGGTTTCTTCTTTGTGTTTTATAGTTTTAACTTGCATTTGTAGATGCAGTGATGAACTCTGCGCATAGACAGTGTTTTCATCTGCAGAATCATGTCTGTTTTTAATGTATTGCCACCTCAGGGCCTGAAGATCTTGGATAGCCAATACTAGTTTTTGGCCTTGTCCCTTGCATACAGAGATTTCTTCAGATTCTCTGAATCTTTTAATGATATTATGTACTGCAAATGATGAAAAGCAAAAGTTCTTTGCTATTTTATGTTGAGAAACGTTATTCTTGAATTGTTGCACTATTTTCCAGTGCAGTCTTTCACAGAGTGGTGACTCCTCATCTTTACTTCTGAAAGACTCAGCCTCTCTGAGATGCTCTTTTATACCCAATCATGTTACTGACCTGTTGCCAATCAACCACCAGGTGTTTTTTTTTTTAGCATTACACAACTTTACAAGCCATTTAGTTGCCTCCGTCCCAACTTTTTTGGAACGTGTTGTTCGCATTAAATTAAAAATGGGCAAAAATTTTTGGAAAGACAAAATTTCTCAATTTCAACATTTGATGTTGTCTTTGTACTATTTTCAATTAAATATAGGGTTTAAATGATTCGCACATCACTGCATTTTGTTTTTATTTGAATTTTGCACAGCATCACAACTTTTTTGGAAATGGGGTTGTAGAACAAAACACGAGGATCACCAAGACAGCCTTAAGACAGTCTAAGCAAACCTAAGTTAAACTCAGAGCCTACCTTCCCAAGCAGAAGACGATTCAAAGTCACATGCTACTGAAGATTGTACACTTGACACTTGGAAACCAAAGTATACTCAACATTCCTGTCCATAGCCACTTATACCGAAGGACTATCTTGTTCAACAGCGGCTTTGGACTGAGAATTAACAAGCAGATTCAACATTTGGCTCGAAGCAAACCTCAATAGTGCCAACACTGCGAATAATAAATGGAGACTAACAAAGTCAAGTTTGCATCCACAAAATGATATCATACAATTTTGTGAACCAAAAGCATTTTAAGCATTTTGGCTGCAGTATTCCAGTAATCATTCAAACAATAATACATTTTCTATTTCAGATTCTTTTAGATATCAGATCTTGGTCATTCTCTTCGTAAGGAGCCCCAAACTGTAAAGAGTTGTCACAGGTGCCACAGTCTCAGAACCCACATAAACAATGCCATCTGTAAGCATGGACAAAAATTACAGACAATATTCAGGCTTCAAGATGGCTACTACTACAGTTTTCAGCTATGTGATGTGCTTTAAAACAACAGTATGTCATATAGAGCCAGAAACCATATATGTAAGTCTATTTAACAAATGCTTAACAAATTTGCCATTATTTGAGACACATATGTGACAATTTAGACATGAAGTAAGCACAATGCTAACAGACGGTCATACTCGTCCCATTACTAGTTAGCTACATCATCTTTGTCAATTTATACAGCAACATTCAGACCTTAAACATGCCTGGGCTGACTGCATAAAGCTGTGGTAAGGGCAAAATAGTGTACATTTGACTTTCTGACATTTGGCAAATGATTCATTAAAGTTTGCCCTGTAGCCCTTTTATTAAAACTCAATTCTCTACAGTTGCCATTCACCATGCAGACAACTGATAGCACTGATATTATACAAAATATCAATATCAATCTTTCTTTTCTGTCAAGCACCACAAGATTTTTTTGGTTTTACTGCTTTGCCAAATATTGCTCTTAATTACAGGCTTTACAAATAGAACATTTAAGTAATTAAGTGATATTACAAGATAATTACAAGCTCATAATTATATGGTAACTACATTACAAGCAGAAAAAACACAAGATACAGGGTTTCGCTCTGTATCGCTCACTTGTGGTACTTCATAACTGAGTTTAGATCATGATTATGTTATTTATTACGACAATTTCACAGACGACACTCATTTGTCTACATTTACATTATCATCCAAACTTAGTACCCATCTGAAATCAAACCTACAGTCTTCCGTTTGCAGCTTAATAGCCTCAGTAACCCCCAGCACAACCGATTTGTTTATGACGTTCAGCAGAAACAGGAAGGACAGGACTCTCTGAATCTGATCACGCACTGGTTAACATTGTATTGACACTTGTAAGCCAATGAATACTCTGTATTTAACACTCCTGTCCACAGCTACTTCTACAGGAGGGCCATCTTATTCAACAGTGGCTTAACTAGACCAGAGTAACTAACAGGTTCGACCCCGGGCTCAAAGCAAACATCATTTAACAGTGTTAAAGTTGCTAAAAATAAATGGAAGCTAGCAAGAGCTGGCTTGCATCTTGCAAATGAGATCATACTTACAATATAGTGAACCACAAGTCTTCCAGCAAGCATTCAAGCAGTGAATGGGTAAAAGATTAATGATTAATAAATACAGTCCCAGTACTATTACAGTTTCAAATGTTTGGACACATCGAAGGAATTTCCTTATTTCTACTATTCTCCACATTTTAGACTCTTAGGTAGAAACACCAAAACTATTACTCATATTGAATTATAGAATGAGCAAATAATCTTCTATTTTAGGTTCTTTCAGAGATGAAATCTTGATTGTTCTCTCAAGTCGCTTGGTGAGGAGCCACCTGAGATTTATTTATATTTATTTTTGGGCCTGCTCAATTGGATGTAGTGCACAGCAGTTTGTAAAACATTGACTGAAAATCACTGTAATTGTAGTAGTTTTATTATTATTATTATTATTATTATTGTAAATTTTGAATATGGCACTACAGGTTCTACTTTGTCTGTTCCAACTTCTTCCAACTTGCCCGAATTGTTTCAAAACTAAATAGTGTGATGCATATTGTGTTTGGTGAAAACACTGTATCGTAGTATATTTTTGCCACGCCGCCCACTCTTACGCTTCACCAATCAGTGGTCTGTACTATTTTTAGCTTCACCCATACACTCCGTATCAGCACACTCTGTACTCTGGGTCCTCGGGTAAAGTACAGCTCACTGGGCAGTGGAAATGACGACAAAAAGCCTGATCATGGACTCGTAACCATGATGTACTGCTCTTCCTGGAGGAAAAACACCAGACAACATCTTCCTAAACAACAACGTCTGTCCTGTACAGGATGAAGCATGAACAGTCATAATGAGCTAAAATGGCGTGGGAAAGATCTAGAAACATTTCCATATTTCTGTTACCGCTGCCTGATTGAAAGAACATTTATAGCACAAGAATCACTTCCTCAGAAATCAACCCCAGAGAGACACCAGGCTACAGATGGAAAAAAAAAAACTAAGGTCTCTGTATGAATGAAGAGCTGTACTTTCATATAAACATCCAAAAAGTGTGCTAAAGAATGGAGGGGAAAATGACTCATTCAGAAAACAGGTTAAAAAAACTGAACCCTCACATGGGCTTTGTAAGCAAATATGTTCACATAAACAAGATATCTGCACACTGGACTGCACAAGAAACAGTTCAGTAAAAAAAAAATAATAATAATATATATATATATATATATATATACATAAATAAATAACACACAAATACACACACACACAAAATGGACACAACAGCTGATGTTCGATAAAGCTGTTCAACAGCATGATGACCATATTAAAAGCAAAAAGTTGCCTTCAACTACATGTTTATCACATAAACTCATAACATGATAATGATGAAAACACAATTTATCACACAGCGCCAACTTAAATCATCCAACTACATGCGCATCATGATCAAGGCATTCTACGACTGAGAGTGTTTACAGGTACTTAGTAACCTGACCGTGCAGAAAAATCTGATTTTGCCCGTAACAGGGTTTGAACACTTTTTAAACAGTGGACTACCCAGACTTTTCCATGACCGGTATACTGTGATACTGACCCGCCATTTCTTGTTTTAGCGATAATTTTAGCAATATATTTGATAGATAGGACCATTTAACACTGTGCACTTTACTCATGGTATGGGGTCCTTGATGGTTTACATTTAACTCGTTTGCTTCAAATCCACAAAATTCAGGAAACTCAGGAGTTTATTAACCCCTTAAATGGTCTGTGAAGACCAAGCTACTCTCGTAAGAGAGCTTCACGCAGTTTCCTCTGTGATATGGTACGACAGAGGGATCATACAAGCAGCCGTAGAGGCGAACGTGCTCAGCAAATCTCAATTCAAAGTTCATTCATTTTGAATTAAGCAGCGCAGGGTCAGAGGTGCTGTGATTGCATCACTTCTGGCGCGCGCACCCTTGTGCTTCTTACAATGTGTCAGGTATAAACCTAGCTTGACTCACAGTGAAGAAGCCAGTCACACAGGTCGTGGCGTGAGAAGCAGCAGCGCTGTGTTTCTCCTCTTACGTTCGGCTTGTTGATTCGTCTTCTACACTGTTCGAATATCAAAACATCTACAAAACACACGTCCTGAATGTTACATCTTAGCTAGCTGAGATCATTTACGACACGTTAGTAAAGCGCGTCTACATGCAGATACTTTAGTCTTGGGTCTTGGTGCTTTTTGTGATCTAGACTCTTCAGTGCTTCAAATGTGTTGAGATGAACTGCATGGGGGAAATTTCAGGAAATTCCATGATTATTCCAGCACTTATTTTCCACTTTTTCAAGCCTGGAAAACCAAATTTCTATATTCCATGACTTCTTCAGCATTTTCATGATCGTATGAACCCTGCAGTAATTCATTCTATGCATTTATATGCACTTTGCTAATCAGATCATGGGCAAATTGTGGGACTACACAAGGCAGGCAATAATCAGATTTCTGATTTGCAACCCACCAATAAACTCATTGAATAATATGTGACAACATATTACAAACATGTAACACTCAGGCCATGCCGCTGCTTTTCTTTTTTTTTTTATTTTTTATATTGAGTCAAATATTGACCCTAGAAGACAAAGAACATTTAAATTAGTCATTTCGTCAAGCAAGTAGTTGGACAATGTTTTGTTGCCATCTTGCGGGTGCTGTGTTAAGCACTGCTTACTGTTTGCAGGACAGCGCTGTTTTCACACACACACTGACTAAGCAAAAATGAAAGAAATCAGAGTAAAGGCACACATGCCTGGAAAACACTGATTACTGAGCTAAAATCCAGCTCTTAATCAGATTTCTAGAAATCCAATAAATCTAAGAAATCTGAATATCCTGTTTACGTGACCACTTATAGACAAGGGCTGAAATTCGATGACGATTGTATTATTGGTGTCTGATTCAACTGATATTATTGGCAATCTACTCCAGCCTACTAAAATGTAATGGAAATGCAAAGCATGTACACACACTTCCACTGTGATAACTGCATTGCCTCAAAGTGCATTAAACTCTTAAGTAATCTCAAAAAGATTTGTTTCTGATTCGGTATTAGTATATAAACTGGATATCAACCAAAGTACGACTTCAGAACAGTAGCTGCCATCATTTTAGCTCTGCCACATTAGTTTGTCTATTTCTCTATCGACAACAGTATGCAATATAATACAGTGTCAGAAAACACACAAGTCTATTTGAGATTACTTAACAATTTCAGACTACATGACAAGTATGATCATTTAGGCATGCAGAATGCAAACTGATGTCCATTAGCTTCCATTACTTGATACCTACTTTAACCTTGCAGTTCCACCGCAAAACTTCCGACCCCAAACATGCTTTGGCTGATCGACTACATTCGGGGTAAGAGGGGGGAAAACTGTGTAAACCTGATTTTTTGGGCTAAACTTTTTGCCAAACTATTCCTTAAATTTGCTTTTGAACCAATGTCCAGCTAGCCGAAGAGAAGCTCTATAAGACACAATTTCATAGAAGTAAAACGTAAATGTCTCCCAGATTGTGACCTTCCTGGCTACACAAAACGTGACATCCTAGACATTGCTGCAATAAAATATCTACCATGTGCAGCATCCACAGTTTGTATTACGCTTTTATTCCCTGGCCGTAATAAAGAAGGGAAAAAAAGTGGTGTACATTAATCCTCCTGAGCAATAACACACTAAAGCTGGTGGGACCTGGCTGGAATCAGTCTCAGCTCAACAATGCAAGTGTTTCTGGAAGGGCGTGTCCGAGTTCGTGTGTATTTGTGCGGTTTATGGGAAAGTTGTGAATGTTTTACAGTGCACTGTGTGCGAGTTACAATCTGTGTGGCATCGATTTCTGACTCTCACAGTCAGAGGTGTGGCCTCTTTATGCCTGCAGTAAACGTACCTGGGCAGGAAGCACCCTCTCTCATGACATGATAAACTCTAATTGGCCTTTTAAAGCGCCTAGAGTGTGTGCATGTGCATGCTGTTTGTTTTCTACGGCGATTTTGTAAAATGACATCAAATATTAAAGGAATATGATACAACTTATCAGCCTAACCTCAGCCTGTCTCATCTTTAGAGCGCGGTCAATTACCAACAACGATAACTTCAATATATATCCCTGTACGAAGAAAAGAACAGAAAACCTGTTGACTTATAGCAGGAGTCAAAGGGCAATTGCTGTATTCAGTCAATAAACATTATTTTGTAGAAAAAATTTAATTCTTAAATACATTTGAGGAGAAGTAAGTTGTAATGTGTACGACTGATGGGAATATCTTTAAAGAGGGAAGAATTTGAGGTAATCTGCTAGTTATGTTGTAGAAAACTGGGGTCTGACTTACTGCCCAGACAAACAGCCCCTGCTACACTAATAAGAGTTCTTGGGCTAGACTCCTAATGCTAAATGCGTGTACCTCTGTAACAGTTTAAACTGTAAGTTGCATGTAAATGTAACACCGCTAGCATCCATAGCCGACAGCCAACGATTACCACAGATTCGGCTGTGTAACTTCAGTAGCTTTAAACTTGCATGAAACTAAACTGCAGTTGAGTTGCATAATGTAATGCATCCTGCAACTCTGCTACAACAGTTGTGAGCGTCTCAACTTCATGAAAGTTTCCTGAAACAGCCAATCAAAATGACAATAATGCATAAATGTGATCGCGTACTTTAAAATGAATAGAAGTTTAGTCTGCAGATGAAAAGGTGACCCACCTACATAAATTTACACAGCACTCAAGATTCATTTGGGAACCAAAGGATAAAAATTATTACAGAAAAGGAGACCGAGATGTGGTCCTTGATGAGTGAGACATCAAGTAGGCTATAACCACAATGGCCACTTAAATTTTCAGAAGCTTAATATACACACACACACACACACACACACACACACACACACACACCTCACAAAAAACTCAAATATGCAGTAAAGAAGCCTAGATAGATAAAAGACAGATATAAAAAAAAGAATATACAACTATGACATCTGGAAAAAAAGTACAGAGACAATGAAATGCAGCAAATGTGTAAATTACACCTCCCAGATAACTTTGTACCAAGAATAGTATGGTTTAAAAAAAATAAAATTGCTAATTTGGTTAACCAGTGGAGTAACTGTACTGAGCACAAGTTCTTAACTGAGTTGTGTACAACTTTGTTTTTGAATTGCTTTGTGTAAAAAAATGCACAGAAATTATGTTGCAGGCAACTCACCGCCTGCAACAAGTTGCATGAAATTTTCCCAGTGTAAAACCTGTCCTAGAATAAGCAACAGTAACACGAATTGCTTTTTCACTGCGCTGTTCTACAAAGTTGGATAAAGTTATTGTCCACAAAAACTGACGATACAAAGAGATGTGGTAGATAGACATTATTCTGAAATATGGTGGAGTATTTCTTTAAAATTAGATGCTTCTCTTTAGTTGAGGATTTCCTCTTGTCTCCAGAGGCTGTTTTGCTACCAGCCTCTTTTACAACCTGCATAATGACAGTAATAGCCGTACCTTGATGGCTGGGTGTGTTTTGGTGGAATCATTGCTTTTCTCTCCTGGAATACTGCCCGCTGACCTCCCCTCGCATTTATAGCGGAAACGCATCCCCCTCGCCTTGGGCTGCTCGATTATCTCTATGAATGGGTTGCCTGGAGGGACAAAATGCAATTTGATGGATAAAAACACTGCAACATAATTTATTGATGCCAAAATAAATATAAATATGGGAACAAATAGCGCACACTACTCAAGCAAAAGGTAACTGTGCTGCATTATTTATACCAAAACTATTAGGAAACCTAATTTCAAGACTAATTCTGTTCCTGAAGCATAAAGTACTGTGTACTGTATTATACACTATATGACCAAAAGTATCCAGACAGCCTTCCTAATGAGCAAATTCATCTATAACGGGTGTTTAATTGCACGCGCAGCTTGTATGACCTCCACAGAAAAGCACTGACTAATAGAAAGGGATGCTCTAGAGCAGCCACACATGAGCCATGCCCAATGCCAAGCCATGGGCTACAGGAGTATGAAGCCCCCGTTGGACGTAGCGTTGATGAAGCTCCATCCAATACCTTTAAGATGAGTTGTAGTGATCCAGAACTGACCACACTACAACAGTACCTGACCTCACTAATGCTCTTCTGGCTGAATGCAATCAAATCCCCACAGCAATGTTCCAACATCTAGTTTAAGGCCTTCTGAGATTTTTTTTACTGCAGCAACAGGGGACAATCTATTAATACTGGATTACCAGGTGTCTACAAACTTTTGGACATATAGTGTACCCACAACCACGGCAAAGTAATTTTTATTCATGTAAAAAAAAAATATATATATATATAATAATAATAACTAAAAATAAAAACACAAACAAGAAAAAACACTAAAGACAATGGCACAAAGTTCATAAAAACAGACACAAAGTCAGGTCTTACCTTGCCCCATGGTGGGCTGTGCCCAGCCAAATAATCCTAGAAAGTGTGAAAGAAAATAAAGACAGAATGAGAGAAGCTACTGATGAGCTAATGATGTGCAACACTGCTTGAGCTAATTCCTTTCCCCAGAAGCTCTGACCACAGGTCAACAAAGTTACTCAAGTGCACTGGAACGTTCACCCCCAACAACATCCCACCACCCACTTCAAAACAAAAGAGACAATCTGTGTCCTACCCACTCCTAGAATGCACTGAAAACCAAAAGAACCAACAAGAAAACATGTGATTCCAGATGCTGGAAGATCTCCCACATGCCCTAAAACTGCTTCTCTGGCTAGCAAACGTTTTGGGACACCTAATGAGAATGTTTTGCAGTAACAGGACATGTTAAATACATAGATGGTTAAGGCGAGTTTACACTGTACTTTTCATCATGATAGTTTTACTTTGATCACAAGCAAAAATCGGTGGTCTTTGAATGTTTAATGTGACAAAGCTTCACGGTGGCTGATTTAGTGGACCTGGCAGTGTGACCACTGCTATGACACACATCTAAAATCCCCCAACAGGGAGCGGCTTGAAATGATGTGAGAGACAGGGAGGGAGTGAGGGAGGGGGAGAGGGAGAGGGAGAGGGAGAGGGAGAGGGAGAGAGAGAGAGGATAAGCTAAGGTAAAACTCAAAAGTTATGTTGGTTCACATACATTAACATTGCCCAGCACTCAGCTAACATATAGACTGACCCGCCTTGAAATGGCAGCATTAAGTACCACATCACAGACAAGCTCACTCTGGAGAACAGACATTCCACGCTGCCCTTGCCACGAGCTATGGAATGCTCCAAACTCTCACTCCTTGAAGTTTATTGGTTGTTTTTACAGGCAAAACATAACACAGAAGGCACTTTTGGTTGCACTGCTTTATTTTTTGGATAAAAAAAAATAAATAAATAAAAAAACTCCTCATAAACCTGCTCTTCATACCAAGTATACTTTGGGCATTTAGGATAAGTTTACCCAAAGCATTAGCAAAGAGCTGCTTTATACTAACTAAACTCAGGATTAACCAATGATTTTTGCAAAAATTTTATCAACACGTTCCCAAACTCTTCCAGTATGTGAACATGCACACAGTCCAACAGTGTACAAATAATGTACCAATGTATTCAAATATATTTTTATATAATTAGATATTCCACCACGCACAGTAATGACAGAAATGATACGATGAAAACAGCAAGGTGAAAACATTAATAAACAATAAATGATCCAAAACATCTAATGACATACAAATCCGTGAAGCGCTCCATATTATTTATTTATTTTTTTTTAAGAATTTAAGAAGAATTTCTGGGATTAATGAAGTGATCTATCTATCTTATCTATTTAATGAGCCTCAGAAGGCCTACGCTTGCACATTTTACCATCAAATTTCACAATCGGTCTGTTTCTCCACACTGCTCGCCCATTCATGTCTAATAACTATTACTGGTAAATATAAATGTCTGCAGCCTGGAATATTCTGGCCCTCGACCCTCGACCTCATTCTGAAACAATGCATTCCAAACCACAGAGACAAAACAGACTTCATGTACTTCCCACCAACTCCATCCAACACGTGATGTCATTTACTCATCGCTTTTGTTTATCAGTGTGGAGCAGTTGAAAATGAAAAGAAACCAAAAACAAGAATGATTGTTATCAGAGCTGCACAATATGGACATAATATACAATGTCTGACAAAACTGATATGAGAAGCGACAAATTATGAATAAAATTATGGACAGTCTCCCTGATTCTATGTGCATTTTTTTCTGTAAACATTACAAAATTACATAAACACAATTTATAATTGTGCAAACCTAAACAAATGTGTTTATCACAGAAACCCACAAAAAATATTTCATTAAAGAAAGATCATAAACACTATGCATGCAGTGGAGCCAAGAGGGTTTTGGTAAATCTCTCAAATCATATTATACCATAGACGTTACAGAGGTTTTTGAATTTCATATTAGGTTTTATGAGACAGTTCAGGTTTTTGTATTTCATATTAGGTTTTATATGAGACAGTTCAGGTTTTTGAATTTCATATTAGGTTTTATGAGACAGTTCAGGTTTTTGTATTTCATATTAGGTTTTATATGAGACAGTTCAGGTTTTTGTATTTCATATTAGGTTTTATATGAAACAGTTCAGGTTTTGTATTTCGTATTAGGTTTTATATGAGACAGTTCAGGTTTCTGTATTTCGTATTAGGTTTTATATGAGACAGTTCAGGTTTTTGTATTTCATATTAGGTTTTATATGAGACAGTTCAGGTTTTGTATTTCGTATTTGGTTTTATATGAGACAGTTCAGGTTTTTTGTATTTCATATTAGGTTTTATATGAGACAGTTCAGGTTTTGCATTTCATATTAGGTTTCATATGAGACAGTTCAGGTTTCTGTATTTCGTATTAGGTTTTATATGAGACAGTTCAGGTTTCTGTATTTCGTATTAGGTTTTATATGAGACAGTTCAGGTTTCTGTATTTCGTATTAGGTTTTATATGAGACAGTTCAGGTTTTGTATTTCATATTAGGTTTTATATGAGACAGTTCAGGTTTTGTATTTCATATTAGGTTTTATATGAGACAGTTCAGGTTTTGTACTTCGTATTTGGTTTTATATGAGACAGTTCAGGTTTTTTGTATTTCATATTAGGTTTTATATGAGACAGTTCAGGTTTTTTGTATTTCGTATTAGGTTTTATATGAGACAGTTCAGGTTTTTTGTATTTCGTATTAGGTTTTATATGAGACAGTTCAGGTTTTGTATTTCATATTAGGTTTTATATGAGACAGTTCAGGTTTTGTATTTCGTATTTGGTTTTATATGAGACAGTTCAGGTTTTTTGTATTTCATATTAGGTTTTATATGAGACAGTTCAGGTTTTTTGTATTTCGTATTAGGTTTTATATGAGACAGTTCAGGTTTTTTGTATTTCATATTAGGTTTTATATGAGACAGTTCAGGTTTTGTATTTCGTATTAGGTTTTATATGAGACAGTTCAGGTTTTTTGTATTTCGTATTAGGTTTTATATGAGACAGTTCAGGTTTTTTTTATTTCATATTAGGTTTTATATGAGACAGTTCAGGTTTTGTATTTCGTATTAGGTTTTATATGAGACAGTTCAGGTTTTGTATTTCGTATTAGGTTTTATATGAGACAGTTCAGGTTTTTTTTATTTCATATTAGGTTTTATATGAGACAGTTCAGGTTTTTGTTTTTCATATTAGGTTTTATATGAGACAGTTCAGGTTTTTTTTATTTCATATTAGGTTTTATATGAGACAGTTCAGGTTTTGTATTTCGTATTAGGTTTTATATGAGACAGTTCAGGTTTTGTATTTCGTATTAGGTTTTATATGAGACAGTTCAGGTTTTGTATTTCATATTAGGTTTTATATGAGACAGTTCAGGTTTTGTATTTCGTATTAGGTTTTATATGAGACAGTTCAGGTTTTTGTATTTCATATTAGGTTTTATAAGAGACAGTTCAGGTTTTGTATTCTGGATAAGGTTTTATACAAGACGGTTGAGATTGTTGTATTTTGTATTTTTCTATTTTGTATTCAAAATATATTGTGTATTAGGTTTTATATGAGATGGGTCAGGTTCATGAGGTGGATGTCCTATGGGATTGCCTTATTCATATGAATATTCATATTAAACACTGACGTTTGATACTTTAAAAACCATTCAGTTGTTCATTGTTCTTTTATATACATGTAGATTTACATTGACTCCTTAAGTAAAAATTAAAGCTTGTCTTCAAATACTATCGGAGGAGTCGGCTAGTCTGTCCAGCTTACCCTAATGAAAGCTGAGTATATTCCATTGACAACACAGAGGGTAAATTAGTTACAGAGAGCCTGTTAACAGCATTTATACCCCTTCCGTGATAGGAATTTAGACGATTGTGCATTGTAGAACTCGAGCTGCGGGGGATCAAAACTGTTGGACAGATTAAATATTTGCAATCAGATTTACTCATCACCTCAGAATCGGAAACGGTGTCAAATCTGAAAAACATTCACCAGGTGTGGTTTGTACGTCCTCAAATAACAGTAGATCAGGATGTTACCCCGTTTCCATTGCCACTATACATACAGCAATACAGGTCTTGCAGTGCAAGATGAGACTAAACCTAATGAGTAAAGCTGTGAGACAGAACACCCACAGGATCACACATTACGGTTACAATATCTCATCAGGTACTGCCGCTAATTAAACTGGTCAAACTGCTAATGTACAGGATGTACAGTCAGTGTAGATGACTCCATTATTACATGGAGAGGATGAGATTTTTCATTGTGAAACTGCTTTTAATGGCGTACTGAAAAGCTCTAGTAGTAAGTTCTGGTTTGACCCCTTGTCAGAGTACCACCTTAAATTTTATTTCCACCTCCCTCAGTTGAACTGTGATTTTTTTCTTCAATAATGTTGCTGGAATATTTCTTATTTTCATAAGTGAGCAAGTAAGACAATGTTCATAAATGTGCTTTTATTGCGGCGTCTTTGTGGAGAGGTGCAAAATGTTTTCACAACAGGTGGTTCTCACCTGTCCCTTTTCACCTAGCAGTGCAACATAGTCACAATGTTTCACACACAGCCAGAAAAGTGTCCCAGTTAATCTAATAAGCTAATCTAATTTTTTTATTTTTTTTTACTTGAGTATAATTAAAAATATTCAAGGTGACCACTCTGCTACTGGAATGGCCATTAGGGAGGCGCAGAAAGGGGTTAAATTGGTAAGGTGAGTGCAGTAGTTTAAATTACTTGCTTACAGAGGAGAGGTCACAATAAACTAACAGAGATGAATACTGACAATGTTTATCTTTAAATGCTTAACCATTAGTTTAGGCAAATAAATGAACACAGTAAGACATCACATACAGGGTGATTCAAAAAGATTCATCTGATTTCAAAGCGTCATTTTGTTACAGCCGTGAGGCGTCTAGGAACCAATCACATATCAATTGAAAGAGGGGGTCATAGAGTTTCCAACAGCTCCAACAGCTCACAGGGTTCGTCGTTGGTTCCACAATACTGGATGATCTCCGAAATTGCACTGAAAGAGCTGTGAGTACAGTGACACCCCACATGCTCTATAGAGTATAGGATGAATCTGACTATGGCGTTGATGTTGTCCGTACAGCTGGAGGAGGTTCATATTGAGCACCTGTACAATTACATAATAAACTTTATGCTCACTTAAACCATTTACAACTTACTTCATTGTTCTGTAATGATTTACGAGTGAAATAAATCATTTTGAAATCGGACGAATCTTTTTGAATCACCCAGTTCTAACTCTTATTTTGAATGTACTTTGATAGCCTAAGGAACATTTAAAAGTTGTTTGGCCATATTGTTAGTCGAAATAAAATGGTGAAATAAATTAAAAATAAAATGGAATTAAAATACATACTAACACAGGCTTAATGCGCTGTCAGACATGGGCAAGCACTCTGGTGGACCTTTCATATTGAGATTTGGGTTTATTTTATTGGTCCACAGAACTGGATTTTGTGGGTAGGTTCATTTGAAGTAATTCATTTCGTGGTAGCGCTTAACGTTTCCTGCTTTGACCAGCACAGACTCTAAACAGACGATCATTTTTTAACTTAAAACGGGGAGAAAAAACTCAGTAGTCTCTTAGCAACGATCAACTCATTGATCACTTCAAATCCAGCCATGAAAGCGAACAGCAACTTCGTTAAGGTAAAGGGTCTCGTATGATGGAGAACCTGTTTTTTTCTGAAATATAAGACGTTTATGTAGTTGGTAAACATTGTTTTATAAAACATAGCATTTGCCACCCAGTCCATGTATGAAAAAACTGCTCAGACAGCCCACTTTGAATTCACCGTCTCTGTGATGTCACAAAAAACTAATATATATATATATTCACCTGTTCAGCTCACAGCAGTTTAGCCCCACCCATTCATACTGAAGTTATAAGGAGGCTTTCAGCCTGGGCTGCTTTTTGAATGAGGCTCAATACTGGGCAGCCAATCAAAACAGAGCTCATCTACACACATTCATTTTTTAATAAAAGGTACAGTAACAAAAACAGGCTGGAAAACGGTCATGTAAAAATGAATGATGGCTGTTCTTCATACATAAACCCACCCAAACATTAATGTAAATCTGAGGGAACAAATTAAAATGTTGGATATGGACCCTTCAAAATGGTCAATGTTTATGGCAAACTCCACGTACATTTTGGACACATTCTAATTTGTTAATGTTGATATTTCTTTTTTTATGAGGGGCTGGTTCAAAGCAGAACCTTGTAGAAGCATGTATAGGTTTCTCGCTAGTTCCTACTGACACCATCGGCACTGTAAACACTGTACATTACGGTTCAGACTGCAATAATGCTGATGCAGTTGAATATGAGGCAGTTCTGTTTTTTGTATTGTTTACAGTGTGGGTGCTCTGTTTTATATTGGCTTCACACAAGGACATGCAGTCTTTCTTTATTTTCATTTTCATTTTTCTATCTGTGTAGTATGTAAAAGTTTGGGCACCCCTGGTCAAATTACATGTTTTGTTGATTGAGGGAAAGTAGGTTAACAAATACTCTACAGAGAACGCAATGACGCACATTTTAGCACAAACGTACTGTTTATTTACTCTAACAAATTGGGGGAAAAAGAGAAAGCATTAAATGTGGTCTGTGCAAAAATAATGGCACATATGTTTTATTTCTAATGTGTTAAACTCAGTAAATACATAGAAACTGTGCACTAAAAACTAGCCGAAAATGTTTTGTTCTCTGTGGAGAACGGTGTCAACTTATTTTTATTTAGAAAATCAATAAAAGAGAATGAGAATTGAATTTCTGAATTGAAAATTGTGTGGAAAAAGCCTATTTTTACATCTGCTGTGAACTAAAATCTGTCCCAGTTTACCTTCTGTATAAACAGTACTATAGAAATTTCTTTAGACAGTTCCAAGAGAACCTGCTGGATCAGACTTAAAACCTTTTGTACTAAAAACTTGGGGATGGGAAAAAAAAAATCCATCTAACCACCAACGGTCCAAACTGTTATTGAAGTCAGAACCTCACTGCTGTCCTGAAGAATGACCTGGTCTGCCCAGATTCATAACAAAACGCAGATCACACCCACCTCAACCCACCCCTATATACCAACACAGGACCCTCCAATCAGGCTAAAGGAGCTTAAATGTCACATACAAGTCACTGTTGTGAACTTGAGGCTGACTATACAGCAGGACAAAACAGAGCAAAAGAGGCGCCCTATTAGCCCTAATATTTCATTATTCTGGCCTATTAGGGTGACGCGCCGGCCGTGGCCGGGGCATGACGTCACCCCGCAACGTGGGAACCACGAGTGGAAAAAGGGCAGCAAAACGGCCCGAGAAATGAACTTTAAGGGACGTGTTTTGTTTATACGACTCACATAACTCAGCCGAGGCTTGGAATAAATGCGCTGCTGGCTGAAAATGTGGGTGGGTTTATAAAGTAACGTGAGGAATTGGGCTGTAAGGGGTCAGCAGGGCCAGTAACCCTCAGCTGGAGTCTGTTCAACAACATGAGGAAACGTCTTTCTAAGTGAACGAGGCCCTCCCTCCCTCCATTTTCCATTTTCCATCAGAGCTGGTGGCTGCCGTTAGGCCCCAACTCTCTCTCTCTCTCTAACCGAGCTGAACTAAAGGGACACAAACACACAGGCAGCGCCGTCTCTTCCTCTCTCCCTCCCCTCTCTTCCTTCTCCCGCTCAGTCAATCTCACAGCTACGGGGTCCTAATTTCGCTCTGCAGGCTGAAGCTGCATCGGACCAAAACTCCGCTCAGCGTTTCAGTGTGTAGAGGGGGGTTTTCCCCGCAGACAACACAACAAAAACAACACAAACTTCTCTCTCTCCCTCTCTCCCTCTCTCCCTCCCTCCGCGGACAAACCTACCGGCCATCTGGGCTCCAACTCCCGCTCACACGACCGACAGCGTCCCGCAGAGTGGAGAAAACCCGCCCGTCCGCCTGCGCTGCTCTTTTAGTCGGAAAAGTAAAAGTAGAGTCGCAGGTTTTTTCGCTTCCTTCAGCTCCGCCGCCCTCCCTCTCTCTCTCTCGTTCTCTCTGTTTCTCTCTCTCTCTCTCTCGTTCTCTCTGTTTCTCTCTCTCTCACACACAGTCACTTTCTCGCGTGAGCAGCTGCGGAAATACCCGAAGGAATGACGTGGGTCTGCTTAAAGGAGCCGCGCGCTTCATGTGCGTCGTTCTGAGTTTGGCTTGTATTGAAGTTTTCGTACAAGTGATCGGTCTTACTGTAACTAACACCTCGTCCTCCTTCTGTTCCATATCTATTTCTATAGCTGAGGTTGTTTCTTTCTTTCCTTTTTCATCTTCCTTGGCTAAACACTCTTAATGAAAGTGGTTCTTCAGGGGTTTTTAGTGAGGAGGTGTATTAAATTACCGCGCACTAACCTGTGTTACTCAGTTTAACACTTTTTGTTTCATACCTTTTTCTGATGTAATACATTCTGTGTTAAAGTAACCCTGAATGTGTCCTTTGTAACTGAACACACTGATGTGTCTAGTTAGAGACAGAATGTGTTGTTTTTAACAATTGTATATAGAAAAATAACTATAAGTGTGCGTAGAACTATAGGTGTAAATAGAACTGTAAGTGTGCGTAGAACTATAGGTGTAAACAGAACTGTAAGTGTGTGTAGAACAGTAAATGTATATAGAACAATACATGCGTATATACCATATACCATAAGCGTATATAGAACTGCATGTACGTAGAAAATAAAGGTATAAAGAACTACAAGTGTGTGTAGAACTATAGATTTAAAAAGAATTGTAAGTGTATGTAGAACTATAAGTGTGTGTAGAACTGTAACTGTAAGTAGAACAATAAATGTATATAGAACTATAAGTGTATATAGAACTAAACATATGTAGAACAATAAGCGTATAAGGAACTATGAGTGTGTGTAGAACTATAGGTGTAAATAGAACTGTAAATGTAAGTAGAACAATAAGTGTATATAGAACAATAAATGTATATAGAACAATAAGTGTATATAAAACTATGTGTATATAAAATTATACGTGTATATAGAAACATAAGTGTATACAGAACAACAAATGTATATAGAACTATTAGTCTATAAAGAACAATAAATGTATATAGAACAATAAGTGCATATAGAATGACAAGTGTACATAGAAACATAAGTGTATATAGAACAATAAATGACCTATTAGTGTATATGGTTTGGTCCAAATCTGAGCAAAACGTTTCATTTTTTAAAAATAATGTTGATAGAAAACTTAACTGAAATTAAATAGGTTAAATAGATTAAATTGATTACACTTGAAAATGGATGAAAATGGCCATCGTTTTCATTTCTGCCTTATACTGCATTTTTATAATATATTTTCTATACAGGCCTTTTGTAATAAATATCCAGAGATGGTTATTCATTTATTTTAGTCACATACAAAAGGAATATATATTTTCATATATGTTGGATTTGTAAATCGTATATTTCTTCTACATATGTGCATAGATTTCAATACATTGATATATATGTGCATGTGTTGGCATATATTTAAATTTTTACATTTTTCACATTAAGATACATTTACCACACATATTTTAAACATCATATATATTGCACATATATTTTTAATATATGAAAATGTATGTACACATAGTTTTCTTCCACATGGGCAGCATCGTGATCATCAAACCTTTTTTTTGAAGCCTCGGTGCCTTTATTCCAAATAATATTGATAAAAGTGCAGTTTATTATGGAAATATATAATGGAAATATTTATATGGTGTTTTGGAAAAGCGTAGAAATAAAAGTAATAAATAAAAGTATAAATAATTACACCGAAAGTGGGTGTGGCTTAAAGCAGAAATGAGAGTGAGGTGTAAACGAACGCAGACTAATCAAAAAGTGCTGACATTAATAGCTTACAGAATGTAATGCTGACGGCCAATCAGCAGCCCAGATTTTGGAATAAGCACGTCTACTGAATTACCCGAACCCTCTTTATTCCTGTATCTGTTCACCATTGTTTTTGGTCAATGTTGTGAAAGTGAGATAAAAGACTGTATAAAATACGACAACAGCAACAACAACAATAATAATAATAATACTACAATGGCTGAGTGATAATAAAGGAGTAATAGCAACAGTAATAAAACATTCCCATATTAATTAGCTTTATGTAATTAATAACAAATGTGTATCTGCATGCACACAAATGCACATGCCTACACACTAAAACAAAAACAGAAAAACAAACAAAATTATGATCTCTCTCTCTCTCTCTCTCTCTCTCTCTCTGTCTCTCTCCCTCCACTGAACATTTTTCAGCTTTAGTTTATTTAACTACTTTACATGCAATATTACTAACAATAAATATACAACATAATCCTAACACATATCTTTGTTTGGGTATCTGTGATAATAGCATCTGTGAACATGCACACACAAATATCAATGCATATACGTGCCAGAAATAAACATACAAACAACAAAGAAACAAAACAAAGCTTATTTGGTGTAAAACTAGCTGAGTGTGAAAGTCTCTTGCGGTTCACTCACCTCAGCATCCCTTAAGAAGAGAAAGTGATCAGCAGGCAGTCTGTGGTTTTGTTCTGTTGCAGGAGGCAGAAAACCTTCAGCTGCTGAGGAGAACCAGCTCTGCAGCGAAGTGGTGATCCATGGTGAGGTTCAGATGAAGCCTGTGTGGATCTGCTCTTCAAAAACAGCTTCGCTCGACGAGGATGGGATTCGAACCCACGCGTGCAGAGCACAATGGATTAGCAGTCCATCGCCTTAACCACTCGGCCACCTCGTCGCTTCCGGCAAATTGTTCTTGGCTACAGGCCCAGTCAGCTCACTGACAAGCACACAGACGTACATACCCAGATGCCGCGTTGTCTGTTGTTCTCTATGTGAGGCGATACGTCTGCGCGTCCGCCATGTTGGTGCGGTCAAGATCCGCTTGTGAACGAGCTCACTTGTATTGAGAGAGTCTCAGGATTAAATCGGTCACAACTTCCTTATTACTCAACCGATTTTCACCAGTTTTGTTTTGTTATAATCCTCAGACACAGATTAATCTAGGTTGCACGGGCTGCTCTCGGTAGCTTTTATTACTTTGAGAACTGATCGTGCTAATTAACCGTCCGGACCAGCAGGAAAGTATCCAGTCTGCACCTGATGTTAAAAACTGAATTAAGCGCGAGCTCCGATATGCTGTAAAACCTGATGAGTTAAGTCAATTCCAATGATTTGAGGAAACTGATTACTTAAATATTTTAAGTTCAATAACTCATTTACACTTCAGTAAATGAAGTAAACTGTATTAACTCCATTTGTTTTGTTGATATTAAAATGATTGCATATTTGGGATTTATGTTTAATCTGTTCTAACTCAATATAATTAAGTAACTGTAAATTAAATTCACCATTATGCTTCAATTCTGACAAATTCCTACTGTATTGCAGAGATATGATCATAAACATTTGGAACACTATCTTGTCTACTTTAACTGCACTACAGACCACCACACCAAATACAGTACAGTGTAAAACACACATGTTGTCTTTGCAGCATTCAGCCACAACAGAACCACACACAATAAAGAGGATCTTAGTAATTCAGCTCTTTTATTTCTGATTTTTGATCAGTACTGATCAACATAATTCACAAAAGTTTATACGTCTTAATGACGCAAGGGAGGGTAGGCTGGGGAGAATGACAACACACAGATGGTGAAGAGACATGCCCAACATGTAAATATATGGTACTAAGAGCCAATAGGAATGACGTGAGTTTTACTCAAAAGGGTTACACTGACCAAATAATTATCAAGTAAAGCTGAGAAGTCTAAAACTAAATTGCAATACGTTTATTCAACTCAAATAATTCAATAAAGTTATGAAAAAAGCATGAATCTCCCAATCATTTAAATGTAAATCTTTATTCTGTCTTTCACATTAAGCCACAGTAAATTTTTAACAGTCTTTAAAAACAACCCATTATTGGCCTGTTTGTTTTTGCATGTAAAGTTAAATAAAAATAGTGAATATAATGCATTTAGCTATAGTTACCTTAACTCAAAATATGTAGTCTTACTCAAAATGACTTACTTAAACTGTCTTACTCAAAATGACTGATTTACTATCTCAACATATCATTATTGAGTTAATTTGATTTTTTCAGATTAAGTTACTCCAACTTTCTGTAGTATTTAAGTTGTGTTAACTTATTTTTTTCATTAAGATGTGCAGTGAGTTTTAGGCTGTAGAAACACAATCTCACACATAACATTAAATCCATCAATGTGTGAATCACTTCCAATTTTAATGCACATAAAAATAAAATAACCCCCCAAAACACAGTAAGAAGGATGAAGCAAAGCAGGCTTCCTATTGGCCAGCTTCTTGTGCGAGGTTCTCCATTCCACCTTAAACGGTGCAGCAGTTACTTACTGGTGTCTGAAGCTGCATCATTTAAGGTGGAACGGGAAAATTTGAACAAGAAGCTGGCAAATAAGAAGCCAACTCCAGGTTCGTGTAAGAAGGTTCTAATGTTAATCTATTATGAATATCTACACGGATTAGGGAATGCTATAACTTACCACTACAAAGCATTAACCATTGTTGTAAATAAATAACTACATAAAGTTAAGATCCCCTGAATAGACTGTTAAATGAAATATGCTTAATATAAAACTAGAGAAAAAACAATCACATCAACAGCATCACCAACCACACAGCCATGTCTACATAAACACACAAACAATACGCATCACACAAACATGAGCGTGGATCACTGCGTTCCCTCCATTATATAATCCTATCCCACTTTCTGAGTGCAATATTCTTGAAATGGTATAATTTTGGTCAGTATCTTTATTAAACTGCCGCTCTGTAATGGTACTGAATGCAGTCCAGCAGTGATGTTGACCGCCCTAACATGGCGGCGTCATTGACGTGCCTGGCTGGAGCCAACACAGCATCTAGTTATGTATATCTATGGCCAACCAGTCTACACTAGCAGGTTAACACCTTCACGTCCTACAACTACATTTAGCATGATGAGGAAACTCCCACAGGGCTTGTTCTGATTGAT